CAAACATTGTTGCATTCTTTGAAAGATGTGTAGCATTACTTCCCAATTTCAAGGAGAACCCTCCTATGTATGTACTGAATGATTTCAGAAATCATAGCATTCCTGTAGGAAAAATGTAGTATGCTGTTTTGCAAGATTGAATCTATTCTTGAATTATCACAGCATGGTTTTGAAAAGAGTGCCATCTTACTGACACATTGAAACATGTGTTTTACCTTTGAAAGTGCAGATTCTTGTTTGCAAAGTGGGCAACATTATTGTAAGGAAGTGTAGCAAGAGCCTACCCTAGATTCCATTGATGATGCAAAAGCCTGTTTTAAAATATGTGTTTTTTGTTGTAAAGCAAGTATTGCACCACCTGCAGCATATCCTTTCAAAGAGTACAACTGTTCTATGGAAATGTTGTTTTGTTTTGAAAAGGGTGCTATGTGACTCGACTTTCAAAAGGTCTTCAAAATGTGCAATATTTTTCTTTGTGAACAAAGTAGAATATGGCTTCAAACAATGCGCAACAAATTGTAATTGTAGATTATAGATCTTAATGCAAACTTATTCAAATATAATCATGGCAATGTAAGCAAGTGCTACATGCCTATGAAAAGAGTGCAGTAGCACAACTACCTACAATATCTCTTTCAAACTAGTGCAGCACTTGCTCGAAAAAAATGTCTAATTACTGCAAACTGTGCAAAATCTGTGTAAATCAAGGAAAGCCTTCCTTTGAAGATGCACATATGTATGTGTATGTATATATATATAAACATGTGTGTCTATGTATGTATATGTAGTTTTAAAAGTGAATAGTTTCTTGGCAAATCTGTGTAGCATCCCTCCAAGAAAGTGTAACATGAGTCTACAGCAGATTCCATCGATGATGCAATAATGCTTGAGAAGATGGTCGTATTACTTCAGCAAAGTGTGCCACCAATTTATGCAACATGGTTTTCAAAAAAGTATAGCATGAAACTAAGGTTATTATCTAGGATTACCACATCCGAAGTCTCTAGGATGAAGGTTTTTGAAAATATTTTTTTTTATGATTTTGATACGTTTCAGATATGATTTGTTGTTATGATTTGTTTATGGCTTGGTTTTGCTGTTATGATTTTGATATGGTTTCAGTTATGATTTTGATATGGTTTCAGTTATGATTCTTGATGTGGGTCAAACTTGTGATTTGAAGCCAACCCATCGGAACAATATCCAAAATATTGCAAAATCGTATCAAAACCATATCAAAATCGTATCAAAACCGTATCAAAATCGTATCAAAAGCGTATCAAAATCGTATCAAAAACATATCAAAACAAACCACAAAAACCTTCGACAAATTGACCAAAAACCTGTCCCTGGGCTGTTTCTGTTTCTTTTTTTGAAGCCAACTCACTGGAACCATATCAAAATCATATCAAAATCGTATCAAAATCGTATCAAAACCATATCAAAATCATACCAAAACCCTAAAAACCATTGAAAATTCGACCAAAAACATGTCCCTGGGCTGTTTCTGTTTCTTTTTTTGAAGCCAACTCACTGGAACCATATAAAAACCGGATCAAAATCATACCAAAACCGTATCAAAATCGTATCAAAAGCGTATCAAAATCGTATCAAAATCGCATCAAAACCATATCAAAATCATACCAAAACCATAAAAATCCTCGAAACATCGACCAAAAACCTATCCCTGCGCTGTTTCTGTTTCTTTTTTTGAAGCCAACTCGCTGGAACCATATCAAAACCGTATCAAAATCATATCAAAATCGTATCAAAATCGTATCAAAACCGTATCAAAACCAAATCAAAATCATATCGAAATCATAACCCCAAATTCAAAGCATATCAAATTCATATCGTCAAATCGTATCCAAAACCATATTAAAATCGTAAAAAAAATATTTCCTGAATTCAGCATCCTAGAGGGATTCCGGTGTTGTAAATCTAGGACATGGCCGGACATTTCCAAATTGGAACACACAGTCTACAAAAAGGTGCAGATGGCTGAAAGTTACCAAAGCAAAAAACTTGGAAAAAACAAAAAAATCAAAGAATCTTGGCTGGGACCCCCCCTTCCAAAGAGTCTAGAAATATTGTGTTTTTTTTGTTCTTCCAAGGTTTTTACCAAGTGTGGGGTACTTCAAGGAAACTGGCATGAATCAAAGGCAAAGCTGTCAAAGTGCCTTGGGGTATGCAGTAAAACATCTCAAAATATCACGCGAATGAGAGCAATTAGGGATAACAGCAATGCCAGGACCTATCCTTTAGTTTTCTGTTTGGGGGGGAGCTGAGAGCTCCTAAAATCAAAAGTAGTTCATTGTTTGGGATGCGTTAGAGAAGGGATGAAGCAGAATTGATGTGGATTAATCTGGATTAATCCTGGGATGCAAAACTTCGAAAAAAAAACAAAGATTTGGCAACTAGTCCAGACATCAGAGTAGTTGTGGAAACATTGTTTTTTTTTTGGTGTTTTTATTGGTTCGCTCCAGTCGAAAGGAAGAAGTCGCGAGTCAATCCGCGAATCTTCGCAGGACTAAGCACTGCGAAGACGACAATTTTGCAGTTCGGGTTAGAGGATTGCGCAGTTCGGGTTGGAGGATTTTGTAGTTCGGGTTAGACAGCAGACAGCAGACATTGGATGCTTGTGAGCGCAAAAAAACATGAAACCATCCATAGTATCAAGGCTATATATCCCCAAAATTTTGTTTTTTAGCGCTCACAACACCTCTTTCTGATATATATATATATATCTATATGTATATATATATATATTATTTTATTTGATATGTGATATATGACATATATACATGTGATATATGACATGTGACGTGCGATTGAATGTACTTGAAAGATGCAAGTCTAGTCATGCTATTCACACATATTCAGTCCACTGTGCGAAGAGCAACATTTCTAAAGTTTCATCCATGGCATGTAGCGTAAGGGCATGTGCAATCTCTATTGCCCGGGTCACAAATCGTGTCATCATATATTTCATGTCACTATGTCACGTGACTATGTCGTGACTATTTTTTTCGAGGTCGTCCACAACTGGGTCTCGATCCCAAAATCCTGGGAATTTGTCGGAAGCATTGCAGCCCCCCCAAAGGCTCCACTCCGATTGGTGGACACAGAAATCTTTCAGCACTGCAAGGCTAGCATTGCATGGAAATCCAGGCCATGCTGTCACCAAAAATGGTTCCGTTGGCCACAGTTTTTTCGACTTCGGGTCATACACAGGTCGTTTTAAAGCGGTGGAGCGTTTGTAGAGAAACATTAACATGGTTTCAGCAACTCGTTTCGGTAGTCTTGCCAGATGCTTTTGCAACCCTTGGAAATCATAGAAACCATCAGAGACTTCCGAATCATAAAGAACCTGCCTATAATCAGGGATCCGCTCGCCAATGCTTTGCCTGTCGTGGCACAGACTTGATGAAGAAGATTTTCCTTCGTTGATTTGGGTCAACAAAGACTGCAGTGGGCAGACACAGTTCCTGTGTTTTGAGTCCTGGACGGAGCATTTCAGCAATTTTCGGCTGCAGCTGCATCTGGGAAAGCAGGAGGGACATCTTGATGATGGGATCCGTGATGAAAGAAGGACAGCAATTCATGGTTCGAGTTGGTTCGAAAAAGAATCGAGGCTTGATGCTATTCGATAGAACCAGTTGGCAGATTGATCAGAATGTGTGTCCTTTTTCCCAGCTGTCCCTCAGCAGTTTGCAGAATCTTCAGTAGTTGCACTCACTCTTGATAAACGCGACACGACGTTTCTTGTTTTTGCAGAGGTTAGACAAAAAGGGCCATGCGTGTACGGTCTGCTACTGCTGCAGCCTATCTCAGTCTTCCATGGGTTCCGTCCCCTTTTGAATAGTCAAGATAAGTTGCAGTGTTTGATAGCAGGACTTGCAGCATGCAAGTCTTTGTGGGGAATTGGTTGGCACATCAAAACTCAATCGAGAGCTCTCGCTAGGTAGAAACTGCATAGCAGCTTAACCCAAGCAGCCTCTGGAGACTCTGGCCGTGGGAACTGGATGAGAATTCTTTATATCCAGGGTTGCAGGCACTTGTCACTAGTATCCCTTGAAACCCACAACCAGATAATTGCTAGCATCAACTTGCCATCAATTGCTTAGAATTTAGGAACGTGACCAGGAGACATCGCTATACTTAGCTGTGGCCCACGACGACTCAGACAATCCGAATCCCACAAGAGGGGCAAAATGCGAAGATTTTCCTTTGAAAATGCGCTGAACACATTGATCCTGAGGCCTCTTTGCTTTCCATTAGTCAACAGCAGTGTTGCAAATTTAGAGGACGAATTTTGACATTATGAGATGAAAAGAGACCAAAGATTTCAACGACATGGACTGTAAGTATGCATAGAAAGGTATAGACTAGATAGCATTTTAGCATTTGGGACTTACACAAAGGAAGCATTTGGGCGTTCACCATCCGATTGGTATAGTTGGGAACGGACAAGTGACTTTCCGGGAGCTTCATCTGGCACAGGACGCTCGGGGCTGGCAGCAGATGAATAAACGTTCCAATTCAATACCCATAGGATCCATGTATGCTATATATGGTAACATGGATCCCATCAATATACCCCCTTTATGTTAGTATATATACCAGCACCATGGATCCTATGGGATATGGCCACTCACAGGATTTCACACTTTTAAGTTTCGGGCATCCAAATGCATCTCCCAGCTCCCGGCCGGCCATAGGAGACTGGCGCCGAGGATTTAACAGATGGCTACAGGAAGCGTTTCGCGAAGAAAAATGGTGGCAGATTGCAGACATATGCGACTGAAGGATACTGTTGTGGCATTGTGGAATGACAGACAGATACACTGAATCCCGGTGACTCCCGGTACACTGCATTTTCATGACTGCAAGCGCATGAACCATCATGAACCAATGATGGGTTGACTAAGTGACTTGTTGGTTGTACACAGATTCACTAGCTCCTGTCGTTTCGCCACGGCCACCACGGCTCAGGGGCCAGGGGGTTATCGCCACGTTGATACTGTGGCAATCTGGGCGATCTGTGGATTGGAGGCCATGGCGCACGCACGCATCCAGAATGCTTTAAGCAACTTTGACCAACATGGGTTTCACATGGCGAACAAAGACCTATTTTCAGAGATTTTTTTAGTTTTTGTCTATGTTCCAGCCCATAAAAAACAAAGTGAGGGGGCAGATGATCCCAATTGATCTCAAGATAACACGTGATGAGTTTAAAGCATGCAAACGCCATGTGAACATGTTTAGTCATGTTTGGTCTTTTTGCTGTGCCAAGTCCTTCTGATTCTGCAGCGATGTGCCAGTCCCGTTGTGCCAAGGTAAGCACCATTACAATTTTCTCAAAAAGGCCTGCGGCTGCAGCATCTGCTGCATTCATGGATTCATATGGATTCCAAGGTACTTCAAATTTAACTGACGCCCTGGAATTGTGTGTTTCTCAAGAATTGTGACTCCCAACATGAAAAAACATGGCAAACTACAATTAGTAGGGGAAACTGCAGAGGAACCCTTCGGCCTGCGTTTTTTTTTGTCCCGATGGTTCCGCTGGATTGTGATAACATAATTATAACGTTACTTGGGGTATGTTCTGGCTATCATGCTACTATATTATGGTTTAACGGTAATTATGCTTCTAGCATAATTCACAATACCCATGATCCAACCATAATGATCAACTATATATAATATACTATATGTATACTATATATAACACACACACATATATATATATATATATTACAGTATATATTATAACCTAATATGCCATATTATTCGTATCACTGTCACATCATAATCATCATAAGCTTATATTATAATCATTACACCCATATCCCCCATATCTTTGGATCTTGGATGCCGCGCAGGTTGGAGAGGGTTCCTTCGGAGCCGCCATCCTTTGCCAACACGATTCCGAAAAGGAACGGGATACCAAGGCCCAACATTTTTCCAAGGGAGAGAACCGGGCCAGGAAACGGCTGGATAGAGGAAACAGCTGGGTAATTTGAGAGAAATGTAGGGTTTGATTCTTTAGATGACCCACGAAAATGGAATGATAGTCGAATTGACCATATTGGGCAATGTGGACATGGGCTGAAGCATGAACCCCTCACCTAGAATATCGAGCAAAACATCTACTGTACCCGCCCCAATTTTTGTGTTTTCCCTTTGGCTCGCCAGAACTTGCTACCAGGCAATTGTCAAGATGATTGACATTAGTCGTGCTTCCAAGCAAGAAAAGGATGATGCCTTGAAAGAAAGCAAGGCTGGGCGTTTTTCGAGTTCTCTCTAAACATGGCCATGCCCACTGAAAGGTGGTTCATACCCATTTCTTATCATTTCTTATCATGTCTTATCATTTCTTGATCGGTTACATCCCGTTGTCATTTCTGAAGTCATAGTGATTGGCATTCCCTGCCTCGTCTACCAACAACACTTCATCTCCCGTGTGTACTACTGACAACAACCGCTTTTCAGCAACAAGTCATTGTTACCTCTTGAATTCTTGGTCAGTTTCACTCCCCTAATCTTTGTTGGTCAATCTGCTGTATCCCAATGTTTCCTGCCGTTTTTTTTAGTCAGCTAGTCACGTCACATTATCAGCTGCCCAAATCAGTTGTCCAACAAGTCAGGTCTTGGCTTCTTTGAAGCACCCGTACATCGTGAGATACCGGGAAAGCTTCCATGAAGACGGATGGCTGTGTATCGTCATGGACTACTGTGAAGGGGGTGACCTTGCAGGGAAGATCAAGAGCGCCAGGCCCGGCCAGGGCTGAAGCCACAATTGGAATAGCAACTAAGGAGATCAGGAGATGGGACAGTGTCCCACAGGTGACATGGATCTATCATGATCTATCCATCTTAGTTCGCACATGTTCGCAGACTTAGCAGACTTAGCACATCCTTAGTTTAAACATTGACATCACCAGAAGAGGACCATTTTTTTGGTGAACCGTTAACCTGGTGATTTTGGAGACCCTGGACCTGTGGACCTGTCCTGGTCAGGTCGTCGGCTAAGATCTTTCCACAGGATCAAGTTGTTCGATGGTTCACCCAGGCAGCTTCCGGCCTGGCGATTGCTGGGACTGGATTATGGCACTGGATACATGGCTGAGATGATGAAGATGTGAGAAGCCAACAAAAACCATGCATACCTGGGATATGGTGACACCCATGAAATTTGAGCTATTTTGGGTGTCACCATATCACATAGCTATACATAGCTGGGATATGGTTCACAGCCATAGTTGGGGAGATGGGACTCTGGGACCTCAGCAGTGGGGATGTTGAGCCTATGATTTTCAGGCGATCCTGGCCTTGAAGTACATCCATGATCTGCACATTTTGCACCGCGACTTGAAATCGGGAAACTTCTTCCTGTCAAAGAGTGGCTGGCTGCTCAGCAATCTCAGCACTTTGGAAACGTCTAACCATTCCAGAGCCATTCCAGAGCTCCAGAGCCATTCAACAATGGAGATCAAGAAAGGTCAGGACCTAGGGACCTAGAAGCCGAATGAAACTCAGTTGCCTAAGATTCCAGTGGTTTTTCCTCTTTGCTGAGGAAATATCAAGATGGGTGACTTCGGCATTGCCAAGGCCAGATTTTTCGGAAACTCCCAAGGATGGGACATTCTCATGAATTCCCACAGCGTTTTTTTTACAACTGGATCAGGCCAGGTTCATCTCATTTTCAGAAAAAAAACATATTTAGTCGTTTTTTTGAACACCATGAACACCATTTTCCAGTGGTTTTGTTGAACATTCTTATCATTCTGATGATTTTTGCAGTTGTTTTGGTGAGATTTCCCTTACACTTATGGCCGAGGCTGTCAGGCCTTATCACCCTTTCGGCAGGTGTTGGAGTGTACTGCTGCCTGTGCACAGACGCAGATCGGCACGCCTTGAACTGAGATGATTTTGGGCCCAAAGGGGCTGTGATGTTTGCTGATTTTCAGAACTATTTCAGGATATTCCTGTGAAAATTCATGTTTTGAACTCTGATTTTTAAGCGATCTATTCGATTGGATTTGATTGGGATGGAGATTTTCAACATTTTTCAACTATCCCAATATAGCATGGATTTTGTATGGATTGGGAAGGATGTTTTCATTTGTAGCGGTTTTATAGAGTCCGCACCTGGCGGAACGTCGATCCATGTCGTCTTCCCTCACCGCCATGAGGCCGTACTACCTGTCACCAGAGATTTGTCAAGGCGAAATGTGCCCCAAAAGGGCACCAGGGATCCCCAGGGCAGGGCGATGGCGAAATCACTGACGTATCTGACATACGGTTAACACTATGGTTATGTGACTATAAATGGTGATTTAATGGTTAACGATGGTGAATAATGGGATGATAATGGGATATACCCTCTGGTAAACGTTTACACTTTGCTATTGAAAATGGCCCAGTCGAAATAGTGGATTTACTACCATGAATAGCATGGTGATTTTCCCATCAGTTTTTTGTATGTTTACCAAAGGGTATCTGACATGTCTGTCACCACGTCACCATTCTGAGGCAAAAACTATGCCTGGAGTTCAGACATTTGGAGTATGGGCTGCATTCTCTATGAGATGTGCGCCAGGAGCGATGAAAAATCCTCCATCAAGTTTTGGGTGGTAAAATCATTTGGGGGATTGTCCAGGACGCCATGTTTGATTAGTGTTTGATTACCAGAGACTACTGCATCTAGATAGTTAAGATGTGGGTATGGATCAATACCTATTAGTACCATTTTTAGGGGGATGAACATCCATTTACCAGCTATTTTGATGTTCACCAGGGGTACAAGGTTTTGACACATTGCCATGTTAAGCAAACACATGCTGAAGGCAATGACAGGGGTCCCTGATCTAACGCCTTTTGGCTGCAGGAAAGTTCCCTTCGATGCACCTGACCTGATGCTTGGCAAAAAACATGCGAATCGCAGTCACAACCATTGAGCCTTCAAATCAGCCTGTGGTAATTTCGCAAAGCTTCTCCTATGGTGTAGATGGCCCATGGCTATGGATGATTTAGCTAACAAATGCTGATCATATGGTGATTTTCCATAGCTACCTTAAATATCCTCAAATTACCCTCTGGTAATTTTACATAGCTCTTGAAAATATGGCCATTTGTAGTGGATTTACCCATTAATAGCATGGTGATGTTCTATAGTTTGTTGCTAGTATATCATATATATATATATTATATGATATATATATATATGATATAATATATATATATTACCAGACGGTAGCTGTACTTTTCTTCAAGTCTTCCTAGATCTTCGCATTTCTCGGCCTCAGGAAGAGCCTGATCCATCGGATCACGAAAGAGCAGGCGCCAGAGGTGCCATCCGTTCTTACCAAAGATTGTCCAAATGACTCTGCTTGTTGCTTTGGAACCATGGAAATTATGGATTTTTTCGACTTAAATGACTTTCTATATATTGGGAATGTCATCATCCCAAGTGACGAACTCATATTTTTCAGAGGGATTGGTCAACCACCAACCAGTTATTGTAACAACAATATTATATATATATACTATGATATATGATAATCCACTTTTCTCCATTATATATACCTAGTATGGCAGTCCTATCAATTCCCCCTATTGGCTGCTTTTGTACCCCACTGTTTCATGTTTTCATTCGTGGCCTGTGTCCAGATTCCCTCGGATTACGGGGTTGGCGTCAGAAATCTGGGCAAAGTGACAGCCTCAGTTGACATGGCGATGGCAAAGCTATGGGATTGCTGCGATGTAAAAAAAAATGGCCAGTCTTTTCCACGGTTTTCAGGGTTTGACCCATCCCGACATCCCCCACATCCCCTACATCCCCTACATCCCCCACTGGTTGCCCCATATCAGCCATGGAAAATGCTCGAAATTCCGGCTCAGGAGCTCCTAGATCGAGATCCCAACAAAAGGCCACCAGCCGCCAGCAGCTCAGATCATCTCTTAGGGGATGAAACCACTGGGATGCTTGTTTCATGGGGCTGGGAATTAATGGATAAGAAAAGTGTTCACTTCAATGCCATTGATGTAATGTTGATGTAATGTTGATGTTGAGAACTGATCCGGAAGCTCTGATCGCGAGGCTGAAATCTTGAAGCGGCCAGTGATCCAAGAAATGGTTCGAAGGTGGGGCCAAAAAATTGATCAAAGTGCAGAGAACCTGAGAGAACAGATCAACATGTTTGAAGAAAAAACATCCATAAAATCTCTGACAGATAGACATATTCACTCATGTTCCCAGATATTTTCCCGGTGTTCTCAGGATGCTGGATGAAGTGAAAGGTGATGAGGAGGGCGAAAAACCTGCGCCACCCGCACCACCCCCCCCGGACGGCGGTGCATGGCTCAGAGGGTAAATCGGTGATCAAGGCTAAGTCCAATAGATTTTGGGGTTGTTATCCTGTATGTAAAATATATGATATATGTATGTAGATTAGATATATATATATTATATTATATTATATTATATTTATATTTATATTATATTATATTATAATATTATATTTTATTATATGATATTATATTAGATTAGATTATTAGACTATATTATACTATATTATATTATATTACATTATATTATTATTATTATATTATATTATATTATATTATATTATATTATATATATTATATTATTATATTATATATATTATATATTATATATATATAAATACATATCACATATGTTTGAACAGATTTCATCTTTGGAACATGAAAATCATGTTGGGAAATCACCGTTCAGCAATTCTTTCCATCTCAAAAGAGTTGGCTTCTGAGCCACGTCAAAGTGCTAGCCGGTCATTGGCCGGTCTTTTTCTTTTCGGTACCAAAAAAATAGTAAAATTACCATAAAAAGATCGAAAAATTGGACCAATTGGACACCTGATAATATGACATCAGTAAATCAATGTAAATCATGTCATCCTTTTCACATCCTGGTTGCACACATTTCGGTATCTTTTTGGGGGACCGAGGTGCCCCAGCTGCTGCTGTGGCTGGACCCTATGGCAGTTGCTTGGTCAACATGGTGCAGGAAAATCCCCTACAGTTCCATGATTTTTTCCAGCTTTTAACACTAGTGATAGTGGATTTTCACGTGTAGCTGGATGATCATAGAAACATAGTTGGATTTGTTCTATTAGTACTTGGGGGTGGAGTTGAGGTTACTTTTGTGGATATACGTATACACCCCAATGAGTTGGGTTATGGGCCCCCATAACCATGTTGTATATATATATATATACAGATACACATATCCACTTATATCTGGAACATAATCAATATACTTCATTGGATTATAACTAATTCTTGATGATACATAGTGCATGGAAAATCGATTGGACACCTCTTCATCGAACCTGATTTGTGACATTATTGATGAACGCTACTGTACATTGTACAGGCTACATAGGAACAGTTCCGGTCAACAGGTTTTTCATGGTCCCCCATTCTTCAATGGACCATAGTTTCCATGTGTTTTATGTATAGAGTGTTCATTCATATACTTAATAGTAAGTATAATATAATCTAAACATCCAATTATATATGTTAAACGATCCCTAGAACTTGTGCCTAGGAACTATGGTTTGGTACGGTTATCATCCCCACTCCAAAGTAGGACACATTTATATCTTGAAAACCTGGTTTTTCAGCAAGTTGGTTTATACGATAGGGATGTCCTTTCCATGAATCATGATAATTCCCAACATGTACCCTCTGGTTATGACTAACATAGCTATTGAACATGGCCATTTATAGTGGATTTACCCATTGAAAATCGTGATTTTCCATAGTTATGGGACAGTTTACCAGAGGGTAGATCCCCCCTTGTGAATGGATAATCCCACTGAATGCGGAACTTCAAGACCTTGAGGTTTCGCTGGAAAATATAGCAAAAATGAGCTTGTCGAGTACTACAGCGAGACACATAGTGAATGGCGCCTCGGAATAAATGGAAGAACTTCGCTTTTGTGAAAGTGTGGTTCTTAATTTTCATCCTTTGAAAGCTGCTTGGTGGTTTGGAACATGAATTTTATTTTTCCATATATTGGGAACAATCATCCCAACTGACTAATATTTTTCAGAGGGATTGAAACCACCAACCAGAAACCTTTGGGCTGTTCGCATTTGATGGTTCTTAAGTTGATGTGGCCGAAGCTCGCCACAGGTTGCCTGCTACCGTTACAGCCAGCAACGATGACGGTTGCTTGGCGAAACTGATGCGGTAGAGCATGGTAAACCCAATGCCATAAAAACCCGATGTGCACAATTTTACTCTGGCTTCAAATTTCCATCAGTACGCAGAACAATCCCAGACTCTAGACAGTTTTTATGTCAACGGATGGGTTTACGTCAAACTTTACTGGTTTAAGCCCCGTGATCTTCATGGGAAAATCGATGGTTTCCGGTGAAGATTTCCCAACAAAACCAATCCATTGACTCACTGGTGCTTCAGATCGGGAATGGGGGTTGCTGGGATGATGGTCATAATAATTTGTTTAATAGATGTTAATAGTTATTATATAGATCATTCCCCCATTCAATCCCATTCAATCCCATTCCATCCCATTCCATCCCATTCCATCCCATTCCCTACGTTTTAGCACCAGTAAGTTGACATAAGTTGACATCATTTGCTTTGAAAATCTTCGCACGTCACTGAAAAACCAATCCCCGCTGAACGTCTGAGTCCCTCTGAGGCCGTGTCCAGCTGAACGTGAAGCCAGGTGTTTGGATCTCCTTGGAGGCCCGGAATAATGCCCACACTGTGCCGATTTTGCTAGGAAAAACATGAACAAAACCCACTTTCCGGGGATTTTTCGGGAATTTTTCTCTGGAAAATCCATCCTTTGATGTTTCAAACATCAGGATTTTCGCTGATGCTTGCCCTGGCTGTCAGATCCAAGGGGCTAAAGTACGGCCGCGGCACACTGGGGCTGAAACTGGGCCGCAAATCAAACAAACTCTGGGTGATCTGAAGCTTCAAATGTTGGTAAATCTCGGTAAATTGACAGGGAAAAAAAGCAACCCCTAAACTTCAATGATTATCAACATCATCAACTGTTAGCTATGAGAGGGCACACATCATTTTTAGACAGACCCATGTTTTCCAAAGCTATGGACGTTCATGTGTGCATCATCCCAGAATTTGTTGACGCGAAAAGCCGCAGCTTCGGAAAGCAGTTGTAGCAACCCCAACATGATGTAAGATGATGTGATATATGATATATGATTTATGTGATTAATATATATATATATCTAAAAATGATATATGGTCATTGTCATATATATACCTTGACCTTCCATACACGAAGAAAACGTCGGGTCTGAGTGAATACCCGAGGTTTTCAGATGAAACCCGGGGTTTTCAGATGAAACCCGGGGTTTTGGTTTTCCTGGGCGGCCCTGTTTTTCCCACTGATGTGAGGGAACCTGCGCTGCTCTGAATTAGGTGGTCTAAGGTGCACTCAGCTCCTGAATTTAACTATAGAAGGGCATAAAAGAAACAACCATGGGCCAAAATTTCTGGTCGTTCGGACAGCCCCCAAACCCATGTTTTTTTCACGGGTTGGCACGGGTAAATCACGGGTTTGGCACGGGTTAGGAAAACCCAGGGTTTTCTTGGAAACCCGGGGTTTTCGTACTAAAATCACGGGTTGGCACGGGTATATCACGGGTTTGGCACGGGTTGAGCATGGGTTAGTTGACGCAAAATCTCAAACCCGAACTTTTTCCGATTGGGGTAAGATAATTCCGTTGTGGGGAAGATAAATGGGCTTGAAAGAACCTGGGCTGCTTCATGTTTCTTAGGTTTTCGCCAGGTTGTCCTGGTCAAGCCAAGACTTAGAGCGTTTAATCCCTGCCTGGCTGCCGGATGGCAGGAAACCCGGGGTTTTGGATGGAAACCCGGGGTTTTGGATGGAAACCCTGGTTCTTAATTGGTATACTGTATAAACCCGGTGTTTCCAGTTGAACCCGTCAATTTTTTGGGGTTTGGAAGCTAAGGGTATATATATACATTGTATGGTTAGACTATGATATATTCTATGATGTATATAGAACCACCAGGGTTTCCTGTCGATTTCTCCTCCAAAAATGAGGCCACACCTGCGACAGCTGCTCCGGCTCCACCAGCGCCTCGATAGCTGGTTTACCATGGTTTACCTATGAATAGCATGGTGATTTTCCATGGCAAACTGTTAGTCATAACCAGAGGGTATATATGATATCTATACAATATATATATAGATATATAGATATATGTAATCATATGTTTTCATAATATGTTTATATGATATCTATATATCTATATTAATATCTATATGTCTATATGTATATATCTTGTACATCTTGCGCGTTTTTTTACCGTATTGACCATGGAAAAATACGGTCCCGCAAGGCGGCGGCCAATGGCGGGAAGCCCCCTGCTGGTGGCAGCAGTCCAGCGAGCAAACCACGAGCGCCCAGTGAGAAGAGGTTCCAATCGCAGAATTCCCATGGATTTTTCGATGTTCCCATGGATTTTCCAATGGATTTTCCCATGGATTTTTCCCCAAACATGGGGCAGAACCCCATGGGTTTCCCTGGATTTTGCCAAGGCAAATCCCTTGAAGTTGCTGTTTTTCCAGCTCTCAAGTTGTCACTGTGAAGCCCAGAGATGAGCTGTGCGGCCGCACATTTTTTTGCCCAGAATCACTCCGAAGGTGAGGTTGGATTCCCAAACATAGAAGGTGAATATCTGAATCTGGTTGGTGGTTTGGAACATTTTTTATTTTCCATAATATATGGGATGGCATCCTTCCCATTGACTTTCATATTTTTCAAGATGGTTAAAACCACCAATTAGGAATGCATTCAATTCGTTTCCAAATTCATCTCCAAAATTCATCAATGTGGGATTAACTTAGTCAATGAACTTAGTTAATGAACCAAATGTTCACTTCAAATGTGACCTGCCAGGGACTTGCAGCGGCAAGCAAGTCGAGATGCTGTAGGAGTGACCTGCCAGGGAAATCTCAAAAGTTGGATGTTTCCATTTCAGTCTGTTCAGTCTATTCAGTCTGTTCAGTCTTTATACCCTCTGGTAAACTAACATAGCTATGGAAAATCACTATTTTTAATGGGTAAATCCACTATAAATGGCCATTTTCAATAGCTATGTTAGTTCACCAGAGGGTATGTCTTTATTTACCATATGCTAGTTCAACTTGTTGTTTTCCACATGTTCAACCTCCGACCTGGAGCTCGTTGTTGTTTCTTCAAAATCTTCGGATTCTTCTATAGACTTTTCAAGCTGAAAAGCACTTGAGGTGAGGGATAACAGTCCACGACGTGGTCCCAGCCAAGATCGCGGTAGAGGGCGGACGCCACAGGGAAGGGTGTGGGACCTCAGGATGATCAGTTGATATCGGATCATTGGAGAAGCATTGGATAATTGTGGATGTAATCTGATGATATAATCATTGGATAGCCATTGGAGGACCATTTTTAATAACTGTTTGGTGTTTTGTCTAGGAAGTCCCCAGAATCACGAATTTCTTCAAGGCCAAGTCATGAATCCCATTTCATCCCATGAGTTCTCCCATTTCAATTCATTTCGCCAATCGAATATACGGGAACCTTGGCTAAATCACCCATTTCAGTAGAAAACTGGTTCGATGAAGCTGTAAGCTGGTAAGGTGGTTAGTTGAGCCATTTAAGCTGGATCTACACCAGGCAGCCAGCCCTTTCGGAGCTGCGGGCATGCCATCGGCTCGGGGAAACAGCAGAGGCAGAGGCTGTGACCGCTTTGAATTTTGAGATTTTTGAGATTGCTTATGGAGGATTGGTGGTGAATTGGAGCTGCATTTTTGCATATTTTTGCTGATGCTACTTTTCGTACTTGCTCTTTTCAAGTCCCTTCTTGTTTCAGTGTCATTTCTCAACTTCAGCTTTGAATTTTTGACTTGCACTCGTGAGTCAAATCCAGGATGAGTAGTTTGCCTCCCGACTTTGAGCCTAAAATCGTTTGCGCAAAATCGCCAAACCGTTTCACGCGGCAGTCAAGGGCTAAGCAGACTCTGGTGGCGAAAGGCTTTCCGGGCTCATATCCTAATGGTTGAATCATGTTGAATCTTGCTGCATGTGGCCATGTACAGATTGTCTGCCACGTGTCCAATTTGCCCCTTGTTTCAGTTCTCCGAAATTCTTGTTTTGGACATTGAAATTATTTGAAAGCAACTTTCTTTTCCATTCTTTTCCAACCACTGTTTTGCTGGGGCGTTTCACAATTTGCACGGCCAAAGAATCTGGTGGCCAAAGTGGCTGGTAGTTGGCGTTATCAAAGCTGCCTTTGCTTCAGCAGGAATCACATCAGAGGTCAGTGTGCATGTTTTTGGCTTTGTGTTTGAACTGTGTTTTTCCAATTGTTCTACAATATACACAGTGTATATATAAACATAATAAAACATATAAATATACTTATATATACACTGAATATACACGTACACTTATATACGTATGTTTTTGAGGAATAAGTGTTCTATATGTCCTTGAGGAAGCTTCCAGCTGTCGAGTTTTCTCTTGTGACCTTCGAGATCCTATAGATTTTCCCGAGCCTTTGCTTGGATTGTTGGGATCCAGTAGCTTGGGACTAGGATGGACTAGGTAGCTAGTGCTTTTCTGAACTGCCTAACCTGCCTAATATGGCCTTGTGACCTTCTGCTCCAGCGAGCCAAATGGCTCTGTCCTCGCAAGTGCCACGTCCTCAGATCAGGGATCTGGTGTGGAAAGTGGCTCGATCTGAAAGGTTTGTGGCATGTGGTAAACCCAATACTCCTGACTCGTGACGTTCATTATTTGTGATTTCTGGTTGGTTCATCATTGATCTTCCAACATCTTCCAACTAAACGTGGTAAAACTATAATCACTTGGATTTTTTTGAATTACAGTCATCATCATTTATCGCATTCATGATAAATACGTTAATTTATTCTTATGATAACTGATGATTTTTTGGGGGTCATAGAGTCATCAATCATGGTTTCCTGGCTCTGGCTTCCAGGTGCGATGGACCCCTCCAAGGCGTGTCGGAGAAAAACCATGGATTTTTTTCTTACGAAGAAATATGAATTATATATATAAATTATATATGTGATTTATTAATAGATAATAATAGTCTTTATTCTAGATAATAGTCTATGAATCTGATATACATCTATTATTATCTATTATTAACCCGTATTGATGGGATCCATGGAGCACCATATATAGCAGCACCATGGATCCTATGGGTTATAAAGGTGATTTGATGACCACATACTTAGAATACTGAATACTTATGAATACTGGAATACTGAATCTGTAGCTATTTCAGGAAATATCGGGAAGCAGTTCGAGTAGCAAAACCCCTTTTTGGTTTTTTGGATAGACTGAGCCGTTCGTTGAACTTCTCCGTGCAGATAACGTGGCTCTTCCTCTTGCGTGTCGCAGCTGGAAACTTGCTCACTGCAAAGGCCGATGCGACTTCGATGTCAAAAAGGTTCCGGTATCATGAAACGTGGAGAATTCCCTGATGATTTTCATAAACAGCATTTGGAGTCAGGATGTCCCTGCCATATTTGGACACCATGATCTAAATCAAATATGGCAGGGAAATCCTCTACAAACACCTAGATTTATTTGATGACCAGAGGGTACCTGGATCTAAATCAATGAGACTTAGGCTGCAGCTAAGGAGGTGAAAGTTCTCGATGCTCTCGAAGTTTGGCCTCAGGGTCGGGGGATGAAAGGAGTGTACAGAATCAATTGCGACAGAGGTTGGTAGTAACCAGGTAGTAACCACCAGGTGATGAGATTCTTCAGCTCATGAGGCGTTGGTTGCTTCCTCTTCCAATGGATCATTAAAAAATCCTTCAATTCCAATCACCAGCAGATGAAGAGAATTAGAGCATATAGTTCACATGGAATGAACATTGCAACTAATTTCATCCTGATAATTTTTGATAATTGGATTAGAGCTATGTGGCTATGGATCAATACCTATTAATACCACTTTTAGTGGAATGAACATCCATTTACCAGCTATTTTGATGTTCACCAGGGGTACAAGGTTTTGACACACTGCCATGTGGGACATCGCATGAAGAGGTGCGCAAGTTCCATCCGATTCAGACAGGTCCTGTTTGACATTTGCGGCACAGAGGACGGGCCAATTTTAGCGCTACTGTCATGTGACACTGGCAGATTCGATGGCTGCATTTCCTTACACCAAATTATACACCATTATACACCATTGTATACTGATATAAATATATATATATATATACTGATACACACACGCATATATATATATATATATGATATATGTTTGGTTTCACTGCCTGCTTCAATTTCGGATTGCCTTATTCCGATATGAGAAGCCCTATCAACATCGGAGGACTTCTCGTTGGTGCCTTCGAACCGCTGCTTCTACCGACTCTTCAGTGCGCCAGTAGAGGAAACCATGGCGAATCCATTGCCATTGACCCAACAAAAAGATATCAATGGATATATCATATGTATGGATTTTAAGTGGAAATCATATTCTATCATACATATATCATAGAAAAATTGACCCATCAATGGATTTTGCGTGGAAACTGCAACCAATTTTTAGTAGGTGACAGTTGCTGAGAGTGACATTCCATTTAAGTTTCCATTCCGCCAATTGCTGCAATTTCCAGAGCAAGGTCTTGCGCAAATTTGGGATGAGTGCCGTGGCTCGCAGGAGAGCAACAAAAAAATCTGAGCGGTTCAAAGAGTACTCCCATTGGCTTCACCAAAACAATGGGAGAAACCAGATCATCTCAAATTCTTAGGAGATTTCCTAACCAAACATCATCAAACATCATTTTTGCTTGGGACTTTTTGGTTTCTTGATGTTTCTTGCAGTTCTTTTTGGGTCCTGGAGTCACGTTGACCCCCGGAAGATCCAAAGGAGCCCTGCATCGAATCGTGTCTCCTGGAAGACTTTTGCAGCAAGCTGTACAGCGATGGCAGAGTCACTGGGCGCTGAGTAAATTTAGTAAGTTCTGGCCTTCACCGTTCTCAAATTGCAACTGGTCATCGTCATCATCATCATCATCATCATCATCATCATCCCCAAGAAAGATAGATCATGATAGATCTACATATTTAATCATACTTCATTATGTTCAGAAAGCCATGACCTTTGTTTTTTTTTTGGTTGGCCATGGCCGGACCATTCCATCGAGGCCATGAAAAAAGCAGCTCATCCTGAGGGATTTCATCATTGTGAGCGACTTGTGAGTTGCATCCAGAAGGACTCAGAGAGCGCGGCAGTGTCGCCCTGGCACCATTGATCTGTGTCATCCCAAAAAAGGGATCGGTTGGAAACGCTTGAAGATCCGTAAAAAAATAAATCTTGGTGGAAAAAACATGAGGGGTTGTGGTCTCCAATGGTGGCATATACTATACTTACCTATACTACCTATACTTTATTCCATAGACTAGAAAGAATGGTCACTGAAACAATCTGAAACATGAAGAACATCAAAGTTTTACAGGTCCCTCAACTGTCATCTGAGGTTTACATGGTTATTTACACCTCAAATGATGCGGCTGGACCCAGCACATGACAGGGCTTGTTATGAAGGCCATCTGTGGGAGCCTCAAAAGGTGGACCTTTTATGGGATTCTTTTAGCAGCGCCATTTTTTCCGGTCATGTGATCCATGGTTAATCCATTAATCAAATGTCACATATTAAACCATGGAGTTAATCCATTTTTAACCATGTGATTCCATGGAAAAAATTATTTTTAAGTCAAATTTGTTTATCTTATTTGATCTCAGCATATCTCAAGAACATCACTTCAAAAGCGGTCCTGATGCTGCAAGGCCAAAGGAAGGCCTGCTGAAGGCCCTGCGGATCGGGAAAAAAACGGAGAAAACCCACTGCGATCCAACAGATTCAATCGCGAACGCCTTTTTTTTGCAATTTGCAAACTTCAGTGCGATTGGATCATCAAAGTGTGTTTTCCATATTTTTTTCCTAACTTGTTCCCCCAAGTTTTCCGTTTTCCCATGGCATCTCCCAGGGCTGGCTCAGCGACTTGGCTCAAGCTGGCCAACACACCTCGTGCTGTCCCAAGATTTGGCTTACTGAGGTTTAACCGCGTTTGGCGGCGAGGTGCCATCTGGAACAGGGCAGATATGGTTCATATTGATGGCATATGGATGGCATATTGATGGCATATTGATGGTAAAAAGAATTAGGTAAATACCATAAAGTGGAGCTATTACTGGCATACATGAGTTGTAGATCATTGTCTCTTGCGATATGTATTTACACAAGCCTTACATGAGTTTTCTAACCTTTTGTGGCTACGAACCTCCAATTCGTAGTACCTGAGACCTCCCTTCAACCAGCAATTCCTAAGTTCTGCAACCCGGCATATTTTGGCCCAACATATTACGGGCTAAATGAAGGCATATTGAAGAAAAAACAAGATCGCACAATCATGTTTGAGATATCTTTGAAATATACAATAAGTGGATATGTATATATATATATATCAATTAATTAGTTAATTAATTAATCAATTAATTAATACATTAGTTAATTGATTAATTGATTATATATACGTATATTAATATGTGTATATATATATATATACAATAACAATAATGTTTGAAAAAGCTGAACGAAACCCCGCAGCCGGGCCGTTATGGTGCCGCAGGTGACGCCGCCATTGGCACCAGCTCCAGCTCCAGCTCCTGCGCCTGCCGTAGAGGCAAGACTCCAAAGAACTAATTGTTTTAAATCATTCTTAATAATAGATAATAATAGTCTTTATTCTAGATAATAGTCTATGAATCTGATATACATACATCTATTATTATCTATCATTAACCCATAGGATCCATGTATGGTATATATACTAACATTTGGGGCATATTGATGGTAAAATATGGTAAATGTTACCATATATAGCAGCACCATGGATCCTATGGGTTAATAATAGATAATGATAGATGTATGTATATCAGATTCATAGACTGTTATCTAGAATAAAGACTATTATTATCTATGATTCTTAATAATGTTATCAAAGATATCTATGTCTATGCTTAATATTTCAGTTAATAATAGATGCCATATTAGATGTATAGTATATGATATATCAAAAATGGGAGATATCTCAAAATGATCATCTCAAGAGCAAAAGTCCTGATATATCGATAAAACCACAACCTGCCCAAGGCGTGGGATTCTGCTCCAGCACCTGCCCCTGTGACCTTGGCTCCGAAAGAAGTGATTGAGGCTGGCCCTTCGACCGGAAGATAATCTTCAAATCCAGAATTCTGATTAATGTGGGTAAAGCAATGTCATAAAATATATAAAATGTCATTTGCACCATCCCCCAGTCATCACCATTTTTTTTTGTTGCTTGGTGGTATGTAGAAACCAACCATTCCCAGGAAAATGGGTGGTGATGAGGGATGCCCTTGTGTGATGATCCTATCAAAAACCGGAATACAGAGACGATTTTCGTATGGCCCCTAGGCGACAGAAATGGAGATGTGTAACAAGTGAAGATCATGACTGGTTGCTGGTTTCAAAATGTTTCAAACATTTCTTTATTTTCCATAAATTTCCATAATATATGGGATGTCATCCTTCCCATTGACGAACTCATATTTTTCAAGATGGTTAAAACCACCACCTAGATGAGATTTCGTGAGACAGTTGTTGGATTTCGCAGACTTTGGAGGAGTTTCCTCGTCCCATATCAGCGCCAGCCTTCGCTACTGCGCCACAGGCATGATGGCCTTGATGGCAATAACCAGATGTCATCAATTATCAGGGTTGCAACAGTGGATCCGAAGGCAACATATCAATGATCCACATCATGTATTACTATATCAAGATTATCTTAAGATTGTCATATGTTCAGTGGCATTTCTGAAATCTCAAAAAACGACCAAAAAAAAGGGGGAGCCTGAGATATTGGACCTTGTGGAAGTTCCATCTAGCAATAAAGTTCCCATGAAACGACAGGTGTCTCGTGGCACTGCACCAGCTGCACCAGCACCCGCCCCTGCGTCTACCTTGGCTCCTGTCCAAAAGGAGGTGATGGAGGCATTTCCGGCTTCAGATTGACATGGAAGGGAATGTTCAAATTGCTAAAATGCTGGTAAGCCCAAGTCACCATCAGTTTCAATACTAAAATGGTCATCCATGACTTGGATGATTTGGGAGTACCCTTTTTCCACATATTCATAATATGAAAATTCTAGTTGGATGCCCTGCGCTTTGGAGGAGACTCTTCCTCACGTATCAGAGCCAGTTGCTCCTGCCCCTAGCGCTGCAGAGGCACTGGACACTGGACACCATGCTTTTGAGTCATGTGGATTCTCAGTGAAATTCTCGCAAGAGGCTTCACTCCAGTTGATTTCTGAAAATTTCTCTCAACAAAGTGCAAAAGATTGATCACTGAAAAGGCCGTGCTGGATTTGTGCAGGTAGTGTCAGCAGCACCCGCTCTACCTGTGCCACAGCCGCCAGCAACCCAGAAATCAGGCAAACACTTTGGGCCAACAAGCGGCTATGGGTCAAGACTATTGGCTCCCCAAAAAAAAACAATGGTTGAATTAGATTGAAGCAGTTGAATAGAAGAAAATGATCCACGGATAGCAATCCGACTACAGTATACTATAGTTAGTTATCTATATAATTAGTTACTTTTTTAAGACAACTGTAAAATCATGAAAGCTATTGCAACTTTGTTGTTTTTTTTGTTTTTTATCAAAGACAACTACATAGTTTGTCATACTTCTATATTTTATGCTTCCGTTGTTACTCCATGGTTGCTCCAACGAAGGAAACTTCCTCCCGTCTCCTGCAACTGTAGCATCTCTGGTAGCGTGAAGGGCATCGAGACAGGAGCTGAGTGACAGCAGTGATGGTTACGTCACCACGTCATGCTGTATGATGTTTTGGTGATGTCAGTCTATTCTTTTTGAAACTATATATACATATATGGCTATGGATCAATACCTATACATACCATTTTTAGTGGGATGAACATCCATTTACCAGCTAGTTTGATGTTCAGGGGTACAAGGTTTTGACCCATCCCCATATATATATATATACTAAAATCAGATCTAATCATTCAGCATATTGAAATTATCCACTTATCCCAAGCAAATCGTCTCTTATTTTCATGCATCTCTTATGATCTTTGCCGATCCAGTCTGAGAATCGGCCACGGTCAGTGGGAGAAACTTTCAACAACAGGACGTTTAGGATGCGCAGCCCACAACAAGGAGTCTCAGGCTCTGCAGATGTCCGGGTTGGTGCCATTTCCCGTCCCAATGGGCCAAACGGCTAGAATAACCAGAGGGAAGTGATCCAATGAAATAATGATGTGTTTATCCATTTTGATTGGGAAATTGTTTATTTATATATATATATACATAAATATAGATATGAAGCAATAATTGTACAAATCAAATACCTGGGTTGTCATGGAATTCTGGTAGATCACCAACAATGTGACGCGGACTTTCCAACACCTGGGAATTGAAACATGTTATCATTGGCTTGGCAGTTCCACCATGTTTCCGCCTTGGACCATGGTACAATGAGCGATATGGCAGCTGGAATAGGATCCCAAAAAAGGGTTGTAGGATACATGTTTTGGCCACAAATCTGGGAGTCTAAGAGTCTAAGAGTCCAAGAGTAGTGCTGTTTCCCAGCAGTGGATGTTTTATTTTATGTGATGGGCGCCTTCCATGGTGAGGTCAGTCCGGAAACGAAGTACTGCTTCATGGAAGGCGCAAATTCCCCATGTGTTGGATGGTCAGCTTACCTAACTTTGGGTCAGAATATTTGGGTCCCACACTTTGACCCATGACGGATCCGGCTGGTGCTGCTATATATGGTAACATGGTGTAGGCCGTCTGCCGGTGTTTCCTGAAAAGCCACTGCCTTTTGTCACTCCAAGCGATGCGCTTTGGATCTATGGCGAATGCTAAAAGAGGAAGATACCTAGAGGGCCTGGGTGAGCTGCGGTTACATGTTTTTCACGTATGCAGCTCTCAATGGAAATTGCATGGCCCCCACTTCCCGCAACTCTTCAGTTGCACCTGTACTCGAAGTACCCCGGAAAACGCACAAAAAGGGGAGCTTCAATCACAAATTTTTCAAAGAAGGCAGCTGTTCCACGTCCGGGACCTTTCGTTCTAAGTCCAGCAAGTCTCGTCCTTGTTGCTTCAAACGACGTCCACTGAACATGTCCGGATCATCCACAATCCTCCAAGTTTGGTGGCAAGCCACAAAACGGTTCATTTGGTGATCTTCCCCTCTTTTGGTCAAACTGTTAGCAAGTTGAGCCTGAGCGCTCACCCATCGCAAATCCAAATCATTCTGGTGTTCGGCCTCCTTCAGGGCCAAAAGTTCAATATCGATTTTCTTAGATTGACCAGTAGGGGAAATATAAGGTCTTTGAAGTTTGTCATAAACACTTTTACTGTCAGTCACCAAAGTTCCGGGGGTCTTACACACCAAATTATTAGGGTCCCTTAAATCAACTTCACCCCCATTCATCTCTCCCCATTGGTACCTCAAAAACCACAAATTGTCTTCCGCGTCAACCGCGGCTCTTGCCTCCGCTGACCCTGGTGCTCTGCACACCCTCTCGATCTTTGAGCTTTGCCAGAAAATTGGGGAAATCCTAGCCACTTCGCCTTTTCTCAAGGCTAAGGATGCCATTCCCACAAAAATCCCCTTGGTGGAATATCCCCCAACCCTGTTTTGATTGGACGCATCCACCCACGCAAACAGACCGACATCATGAAGAGGGAGAGGAAAAATCTTCATGGGTTCCCTAGACGCGTCTCTGATTTTATGGAGAAGAGAATTCGCTTGGAGAAGGTGTTCGACCGTCGATTCAGGGACTTCCGACAGCGACAGTGAGACATACGCGGAATGACGATACCCAACCTGACTACAATGCCAAGACAAAGCACCAAGGAGACCGCGAAGTTGAGTTTTCTCCCAAGGGGTAGTTTGTTCCTTCCTATTCTTCCTACGCTCTTGGTTGACAGGGATTTCTTTGACCTTCTCCATGTACCTACGCTGGGACAACAACCAACCTCCATCCACATCCTTGGTGATTTGAACCCCGCACTGAGTGAAGTTGTCTTTTTCAAATTCCCCCCATCGAAAATGATCTTGGATACGCTTTCGGATGTCAATCCACACTGGATCATGCTCATCAGCCACAAAAACAAAATCATCCACATGCCCCGAAATCATGACATGAACCCTGTTACCCTTTTTTAAAATCCAACAGCAGGGGTCACTGCCCATTTGGGAAAAACCAAGACTCAACAAAAAAGTTCTAACAGTCTCATACCATTCGTAAGGAGCCTGGACCAGACCGTAACAAGTTTTCCGAAGTCTAGTCACACTTTCTTTAGGAACTTCCAGTTCACGACACAATTCCGGAGTTGGGATAACATACAAATCATCATCCCTTTCTCTTCCCTGGAGAAACGCGGCTGCAACATCCCCTTTCCAAGCTGACCATTTTCTACTTGCTGCTGACTGAAACAAGAACTGCCGTGTGTGGCGCGTGGTGGTTGGGGCATAAGTGGTGCGATATTCGTACTGAGGATCCTGATACCCCAAAATCACAACCCTAGCCTTAGCAACTTGTTCCCCTTCCCCATCCACTTTCCAGGTGAGAAGCCATCTCATTTGAATGGCTTGGTCCGTGTTGGGCTGCAAGTGAAGTGGAAGCACCTGCAAGGCTTCCGCAGCGAGGAATTTCTTCACTTCCACGTCTTTTGCCTTTTGGAATTTGTCAAAGGTCTCGGCATCCATGTGTTTCTCGTACACCTCCACGCCTTTCTTCTTGAGCATGTTGGCGACATAGGCCTCAGGATCCTTCGCCATCTGCATCCAGCCATGTCTACTGGCGGGCACAGGAATCTCAATCTGAACGAATGCTTTCTCCTCTGCCCAGAAGCTGGACTCTTCTGATCGCGCTTCCGCCCTGATGGGTGATCTACTTCTGTCTCCTTGGCCGGAGTGTGTTCTTGTCGAAGAGGATGGCCAAGACCTTGCTTCTCGAGAGGGCTCCTCGACATCATCAAAGATGGAGTCCGGCATTGGTGCCGCTGCAGAAGGAATCCCCTCCTGGTCTCCATCCGCATCCACCTGCATGTCCACAGCTAGCTGCTGCTGGTTGGCTGGATCCTGTTCTCTTTCTTTTTGACGCTGAGCACTCTCTGAAATCTTGATGGCCATTCTTCGTCTAGGAGGTGCACACCAATAGCGTGCCATCTCATCGGCTCCACGAATTTCTGGTGGTGGTCCCCCTTCTCCAGTCATGTCATCATACTCTTCTCGGCCCAAAGGTTGAGCCAGTTCCGTCATGGACCATGGGATGTTTGGTGGTCGTTCAGCTTCATGTATGGCATGTTCCCGTTCAGAAGCTGGTCGAAGTTGTTCAATGGAAGCCTTCAGAAGGCGATTGTTGCGCACCAACCACACCACTGAGCTGGGGCGCAGTTTGCCGTCGCCCTCCCTCCGGGTTTCCAGAGCCAGAACTCGGGCTGGCCCAGCGTAGCCACCTAATGCTCCAGTCTGATGTTGCGTGCCATCTTGCTTGGCCTTGATGTAGCTTCTCCAGTAGAACACAAGGTCGCCTGGGCAGTACTCGGGTAGGCTTCTTGCCTTCGAGTTCAAGGCTCTTTTGATTCGCTCTGTTGCCTGCCATCTGACAAAACTCTGCTCAGCCTTCACTCGGGCCTCCTGTTGCCGCACATGTTCACCTTCTGGATTTTCCATCAGCTCTATTGGAAGCCCCTGCACCTCACTGTCAAAGAGGCGGCCACTCAGGTCCGGTGTTCTGCCCAGCGCATGTTGGTATGGAGAAAATCCCCGCACCATTTCTCTCTGATTCCAGATGGAGATGGCCATGGCAACGCCATCCTGAGTGGTGAAATCTGGATCTTCTGCGGTCTGGCGTGAGAGATTTTCTTTGAGCCATGCAACACTACGCTCTAGAGGCGATATGTGCCAGTGTGCATCCCCTGGGATGGCATCCAACATGATCTGCTTCTTTGAAAAGAATTCATCCAGTTTTCGGGATCTCCAAGTCCCTTCCGCATCATACCTCAAAATTTCAGGGTTCCCAAAATAAGTTTGCCAGTGGGTTTGATAAAACTCCATGTATTGTTCAGCCTTCACGTTATTGGTCGCCCCTTCAACAAGGACTTTCCCAACCAAAAATCTACTCCCCTGATCCATGAACAAACCAATAACAGCCCTTTTATCTCTTCGGGGGTCCCTCCAAACCATGCAATCCGCCAAAACCACCTTCCATCTTTTGGGGATCACTTCAAAATTCGCGACCCTTCGGGGACCTGGTTTCTTACGTTCTTCACAAATATGACACCGAAAAGATTTGGCCCATTCCAACACTTTGGGGTCAACCCCTTTTTGTTGCAGAGCTTCAACCAACAGTTTCAAATCCCCATGGCCAGTCGCGCTGTGAATTAAACGAAATTTCTTTTCCCAATCATGCTTCTGCCTAGCTTCTTCGGCCCCTTCCACTTCGGGATTTTCCCCTTCTTGTTCCCCAACAAAGATTTGGTGGTCACCCCTTTGAAGGATACAGTGGGAACAAACTTGAACCAACCCCTGGTCTTGAAACATGTCACAATTGCACTTCTTCGGGTTATACACCTGCCCATACTTGGAAAACAATTCCCCTTGAAACAAACCCTTGGTGGTCAACTGGGGTTGTAACTCTTCCCACGTTTCTTGATTGCGGAGGTGGTGAATGACCCTCTTAGCCATGGTTTCGGGGTAAAAGGCCGACATGCGAGTAAGGGACCCTTCACAAACCACATGTTCTTTGGGGCATTGTTCCCGAAGACAAGGAAGGTGAACCTTACACGCAAACCTCTCATTGGTGGTTTCGATTCTCCATTCTTTACCCACAACTTTTTGGGTTTTGGGGTCTTTAAGACCAACCCTGCAACCCCCAACAATGGCCGTATGCAATTTCATTTGGGTTTTCATGCGATCCATGAGTTTCCATTTCCAAGCTCTACACCGCCTTGACCACTCCCAATGGATGTGACTTCCTTGAGATCGAGCAAAATACGCAACCACCAATCCCCCCAAATGCTGTTTGCGAGCATCTCTTTGCTTTTCTTTCAAATCCTGGACCTGTTGGTCACTACGCTGATTCAAGTTTTGCATGGGAGAAAAAGCACCGCACTCCGTGGAAATCCAAACATGTTCCGGTCTACCTTCTTCAACCAACTTGAGAACTTTCCTAAGACCCTCAGGGGTGGTGAGATCACATCCATTAAACAGCCCTGCTCGCTCAGCGCGCAAACCTTGTTTTCTCGCTTCGTTGGTCAAAGTAGAGCTCTCTAAACATGCCACTTCAAGAAGAAACAACCTATTTATACTGGCCAAACTTGCCCATTGTTCTGGCAGCATCCTATTGGCTGCTTCGCGAAGCTGACTACCCTCAGCCTCAGTCAAGGTCTGGTGGAGGCAAGTTGGTTCTTCATAGGTGTCGGGGTCAGTGGAGTCACTTACTTCGATCCCACCTGCTCGAAGCTCATCTGGCTCGTGGTGGTCTTGCGATTCTTGGAAGAGGCGGCTGACCCTGACTGACTCTTGAGCTCCTGGAGCTCTTCCTTCATGGTATGAAATTCGACCATCATGTTCTTCATCATGTGCATCATTTCGTGTTGGATGCCCTGCTCGACTGGCTCGTGGCTCTTGATGGTCATTGGCTGCTCTGACTTGGGCTTGCGGTTCATGCTCTCCTGAATGGCCTGCTGGGCATTGCCGGGCACATAGGTCTCGGGAGCTGCCCATAGCTCTGGTGCCTGGCTCACCTTCTCGGCCCACTTGGCAAACTGGATCAGGCGCCAGTCGGCGTCCTCCGCCTGGTTCACTTCCTGAATTGCCCACTCTGCATACTTGGGGTAGTTGTGCAAGATCTCGTTGAAGGTTCCGCCGGCATGGCGACCGATCTCCATGACTGTTTCGCCGTTGGCATTGCTGATCACATGCTGGCGCAAAGCAAGGCGAAGTTCTCCCACTGAAGCTTGGTTGGTGAATGGAATCTCGCGGCTTGAGCACAGGCGACGCAACTCGTCGCGCTTGGCATCCTTGATCTGCTTCATGATGGAAGGGCCCTGAGAGTTGGCAATCAACCCCAGACGCTTGCGCATCTCGCGCAGAAGCACCCGGAGCTCCTGGAGCGAGAGGTCCTTGTGAGGATTCTCGCCAAAGTCCTTCAGCTCCGTGATGCACTCCTGCTTGTTGCACAAGTAGTGGGGCTTGATCTTTTCTGCCATCATAGTGGGCTGCGCCATTGGAGTTGGAGACGTCATGGCTCTGCAAAAACCTGTCAGGTTGAGTTTGGGCGGTCGGAGCTACCTGATCAAAAATGTGCTGCTGATTCTGGCTACCATGTTCATGGTTGCAAAAAACCCCTTGAGAAACTGGTTGATGAACTAAAAGAGACAAACTACTCTTGCGATCAACCCTGTCACTAGTGTCCGTTTCATGGGCATGTTTCTTACTTAGTCCGTGTCCAACCGCAACATCAGGAAAACTACTCTGAGACTGCCTTCCTTGCTCAAATTTGCCTGAAGCTTTTGTGGCCCCACACCCGGGTACAGGCACTCCCGAGCTGAGTCTGCCATCCTATTCAGACAAAAGTTCTTGAAGGCTCTTTACCGGTGCTCCTACCTGAACCCCGGCTCTCAGAAAATCTTCGGCTAAAGGAAGAAGCTGATGCCCTGCCTGGCTTTGCTCGAGCTTGACGATGGTCTGGGAGTCTAGATGTCGAAAGACTGCCAGGTCATGCTCATAGTCGATCACTGCGCCCATGCGTCGGAGGCTGTCGACGCTCAGCAGGATGGGTGCTTCTCCTTGACCCAAGATGTGGACCTTCATGTTGACGTTCTTCTGTTCCGAGGGGAGCTTCATATGGCATGTGCTCAGGCATCGGGATTTCTGGGAATTCCCGAAGCCGAAGATTGGCTGCTCATTGGGATTGATGTGCATCACTCCGCTTACCCCATGCTGCTTCTGGTGTTGCTTCTCCAACATCTCTAGAGCATGGAGTGACCCCATGGTTCTTGTGGCCCCTCCGTCGATCACTGCTTTGCCCTGTCGGACAGCCTCTTCTGTGGACACCTTTCTCTCATGTCCCATGAAGACCATCGGACTGACGCTGAGCTCACCCGCGGCCAGTGCCATTTCTGGTACTTCGAGAACTTCAGGAGTGTTCGCGCAGTCATTCTCCGGAGCGTCCTTGGGCTCATTGAAGAAGGTGAACTCGGCTGCCTGCTCTGGTTCGTCAACTATTTGGGCACTCTCCTTCTGGGGGCATTGTGCTGCCTTGTGGCCCATTGCCCCACATTTGAAGCATGGGCCATGTCCTGGCAGACGAGCTCCCGTGCCCATGCCAACCGGTCCACCTCCTCTACCAGTGCCCTTGTTCTGTGTGTTGGCACCCGGTCTATAGAACTTGCGAGACATCTTGATCTCGTGCTGACGGTTGCGAGCCTCACGGAGGGTTCGCCTGGCTTGCTGGAGCTGCACCCAGGCATGATGTTCTTCTGCTTTGGCATCTTGAAACCACCCTTTTTGTTCCTCAGGCCATTCTTCAAACATGGCCAATTCTTCATCTAAGGGCTCCTCCTCCTCGGACTCGTAGTCCTGCTGGTAGTTGGCCTGCTGTTTAGCTTCACCTTCACGTTTGCGTACCTGGTCATCATTCCAATGACTGCGCAAGGCATTTTCCACGCCGCTCAGCGTGAAGTTGCCTTTGATCTCTCCTTGAATCACTGACTTTTCCAAGGTGTCCAAACCACTCTTCTCCAGCAAAAACCAACCCAGCACTGCGTCCGGTAGAATTTCTACCATCTCGTCCTCTTCGCCCTCTCCCATGTCCTGTGATGAAGCCGTAGAACTCCTCCATGGTTGTGACTGCCATCCATAAGACGACCAAGCGGGGTAGCGCCATCCCCAATTGCCATACCATCCCCATGGCGAAGTGTGCCACCATTGGTCCTCCGCGGGAGATGGTGCTGCTGTCTCACTGTTGTCTCCTGTTTCTCCTTCTGCCTGCCGCTGGCCCTCTAGGTTCTCCCCATTCTGAGTCGTGTGGTCAGCTTCAGAAGCTGTGCGGGATGTGCCCCCAGTAGCTTGTACTCGTGGAACTTTATCTCGCCTGGGCTGTTGCTCCTTGACCATTCGGGCCAAGGAGCGACACATTCTCTCATATTCTTCCCGGTGCCGCACACAGAAAGCTGTCATGCTTTCTCCCCTGCGGCGCCTCAAAACTCTGAAGTACTGCCTCATGTAGTTCCCCACCTCTGGCAAGGCAGGCTCCCCTATTGCTGCCTGTAGATGGGAAAGGAGGACTTCTGCACCATTTGGATCACTCAACCAACTACTGCGCTTTCCAGCTATGGCTGTGCGAGCTGCCCCAGTCAGCTCGGCTGCCAGCCTTGGTCCGCACGTGTACCTGGTCTCGTACTTGGTCGAAGCCACAAAAAGCCTCGCAGCCTGCCGGTACTCCAGCCAAGACGCTGGATCACCCGACCAGCCGGGTACTCCGTCTTTGTTCCTACTCACCGACATGTGCCTAAACTGCTTGGGATGCCCAAGTTGTAGTACTGCAATTTCAAAGAACCAAAAAAGATCGCCTGAGACTCCGCTACCGTGTAGGCCGTCTGCCGGTGTTTCCTGAAAAGCCACTGCCTTTTGTCACTCCAAGCGATGCGCTTTGGATCTATGGCGAATGCTAAAAGAGGAAGATACCTAGAGGGCCTGGGTGAGCTGCGGTTACATGTTTTTCACGTATGCAGCTCTCAATGGAAATTGCACATGGATCCCATCAATATACCATCAATATACCCCAAATGTTAGCATATATATATATATACCATACATGGATCCGTCATGGGTAATGTCATTAAACATGCGCAAGTGAATCTGGCGGAATCGAAGCATTTCCCTGCATCATCTACTTCCACTGCAGAGCTTTGAGAAGTGTTGCGGAGTGTTTTCTTCTCCAGGCGGGAGCCAATGCAAAGATCAGCCCGGAGCAAAGGCCTCCACGGAATTTTCAGGCGCCAGACTAGTCCAAAAACTCCATGGGTCAAACCTATGCTACCACTCATAGAATTGGATGATGGGAAAATTTACAGGAAAACCCTATATTTGATGGCAAAAACCATGGTTTCCTGTAGATTTTCCCTTAAACCAATCAATTGAACCACATGTTGATGAACATCCATTCATCAGCCATTTCTTCGGGCTCAAGGCGGTTGATATATCTGGACAGTCCCTTGCGACAGGTCTATATTGGAAACCATGTAGCGAGATCGACAACTTGATGCAGATCTTTCCACACAGCTGCTTGGTTGGTTGGATTTGAATTGGTGGGAATGGATTGAATGGTGGAATTTGATGGTTGATTTGATGTCGTTGGTTGTTGACTGGATGGTTTTGGTCACGTCAAATTCATGGGGTTTTCATGGGTTTTCACATGAAAAACATCGCAGTTGATTCGCCGAATATCGTCTCAGATATGATATTATTGATATTCTTGTTCGCAACCTCGGGTTTGTCTGAATAGATGGCTTACCCCAAAAAGAACCTGGTTTATCATCACGTTCGCCGTAAAAAAGGGCCGCAACATCGGGCCATCATCTCGTTCTTGGAGAAATCCATCGATATTCTGACCGCCGTGTCTAGTCAAATCACATCTTTTCACATTGAATCACCATTTTTCAGGTCCAGTGGTCCAGATGTCCACTGGCTAAGGCTGCCAGATCTTCAAGACAGATCGGAGTAAAGGAGATGCTGCGCTGGTGCCTTAGACCTTGGATCAGTAGCCTCCAGCAGCTAGCCGGGAACCCATCAATTTCATGAGATTTTTGTATCACAATCCATGAAAGAGATATTGAATGGAAGATCACCTATCTAAATTTGATATCCCCATTAAGACAAATCCCAAAGATATTTTTGTCGAATGGGAATATATTCCATTAAATGGGGATATGGAGAATTTTTTTTGGGGAATATCATCCACAAATGTATGGGAATTCTATTAAAAATGGGGATGAAATATATGGAATTGGTGAACAACCAATAGATTGACATGACCAGCTATGGATTCAGGCAACAGCTGGTGTCGAAGATAAAGGAGCTGCAGAGTAGCGAGGGAAGTCAGAATCCAAGTTCCACATACATGCGCGCACACTATATTATTTATTATATGTACGTATTTATAAATGTGACATTCATATATTATTGTTTATATGTAATATTTAATATTATGACAAATTTTCAGATTAAACAGAGGAGTGCAATATTTTTTAATGCATCGGAGCACACACACACAGAAATTGTATAGCCTATAAGTCACAATATTTCATGCATTCGTTGCTTCGTTCATTTGTGCATTCAGGTCACAGCTTCATACCTTCAAGGCCCTTGGAAGACATGAAACAGTGGATGGCCTACTGGGACGTACCTTGGCAACTTCGCTGTTCCATATCCCATAGGATCCATGTATGGTATATATACTAACATTGGGGGTATATTGATGGTAAATGTTACTGTATGGTGTATATATTATATATGCTAACATGTGGGGTATATTGATGGTATATTGATGGGATCCATGTTACCATATATAGCAGCACCATGGATCCGTCATGGGTGTGGTAGCAACGACTCGCAAGGACTCGGGACTTTCGTCACGGAAAGTCTTTGTTGATGTTTGTTGACTGAAAGAAAAAACCATGTGACCATGTGTTTTCTTCACTAATAGGTGGAATGGCCGCAGAGCGATTTGCTCAAGCCCTGAGACTTTGACAGGCAACCTGCAACGGTCATTCGAGTACCACAAACAGTCATAACCATTCATAGCCATAGCTGCTATATGTTAAACTTATGTTAACCCACTTTGAGACGTAAGGAATGGCCGATCAAGATACAGGGAAGAAACAAAGTCCAAGTCCCACTGGCGCCAAAATCAAGCCACAAGAGCTCAGTGGATCAGTGGATCAGTGGAGACAGCATGGAGCCGACCCTAACTCTCCAAAGTTTCCGTGGCCTTTTAATTCAAATGGCACCATGGGCTCAACCATTTGCCACCACCAGGAAAGCCAGGACCTCAGAAGAAATCTCTGCTCTGCAACTCCATCGCCATGTCATGTGGTTTTTGATGGTTTTTGACCCAACTGCCCAACTGAGGTTCCTATTCGCAGTACGGCCCCAGATATTCGGTGGTCCCTCGGATATTGTTGGATGCATCAGGATAAACATCCAAAGAAGTGAACACGAAAAACGTCACAAAAATGTCAAGATGTTAAATCTCACCCATTTCCAGCGCTTTCCTTTGCCTGTTTGGACTTGTCATGACTTGTCAGGGGGATGAACTTTGTGATCGAGCGCCAAAGTGCGTTGGAAGATGCGATGCCCCTTGCAGCATTGGTTACGAGCTAAGTTCCTGCCTCAGTTTGGAAAAGATTGCCGCAATTCGGAAGGGAACAAGTTGAGGTCAAGGGATACTGAGTGTTTAGTAAAGTTCAGTACCCTCTGGTAAACTAACATAGCTATGGAAAATCACCATGTTTTATGGGAAAATTCACTATAAATTGCCATTTTATGCCATTTTCAATAGCTATGTTAAATTACCAGAGGGTATCTCAATTTCCCATGATATCTTTAGTCAAGTTTTGAAATGCTTTGAGGAAGCAGAGAGGAAGATATCCTCGCAGCAATCAACTCAGCTGTGGGTCAAGGGATCTCAAACTGATGGAAATTTCCTGAAAAGATCTGGTACAGAAGTCTTCAATAGCCATGGAATTCCCTGGAATTTCAGTGAATTCCAGGGAATTCCAGTGAATTCCAGTGGCAATTCGCGGAAAGACCTGACGGATTTAGGATTGGACCAAGCTGGACCTTGGTTTGACTCAAAGCTCTAGGCGAAACTGCAGTGGAAACTCTTCTCACCGCTGAGTTTCCGGATCTAATCAGTTTCAGAGCTTTTTTGATGGTCAGAGAGTCAGAGATCTTCAAAGACTTCAAAAAGAATTGAACACTGGTTGGTGGTTTGGAACATTCCTTATTTTCCATTTCATATATGGGATAATTAATCCTTCCCATTGAGGAACTCATATTTTTCAGAGGGGTGGCGAAAAAACACCAACCAGAACACCTTAAGACGATATGTTTCTTCGTAGACATCTGGATACATCTGGCAGGCCGAAGCCCTTGCAGCGGCCGCCCATCGTAAGCCCTGGAGGTTTTCCTGCAGAAATCTGTGACGAATCTGTGACGAATCCTTTGTCATGGCCATTCAAAGTGGAGATGATATTTTCGCCAGTGGATTTGGTATTTTGAGGATAGAAAAGGATAGAAAAGGATAGAAACCCATGTTGATGTTGAGAAATGCCCTTCCGATGTGACCCATAGAGCTGGATATAGCTGGATATCCATTGGACGGTTTCACTCCTGTCCCCTGCTTCATGAGGCCTGGTTTCTCGCCACTGTGGAGGGACTGGAGGAGATCCGTACTGTGATCAGAAGGGTTTACTGGCCCATCTCATTCGATCATGAAAAAATCCCTGACTTTGAGATATACAGAAAAAAACACAGTAATGATAGTAATGAATCAATGTATTACAATGTTTTTTTTTACACTAATCAAACGTACACACCAAGATCATGCTATGCCATGCCACTGTTTTTTTTTTGACCTCAGGAGTTGGGGCGAGTATCAGCTATCAAGCAGCCCCAGATCCCTCTGAGGCTCAACGGATCAGGGTGAGTGTTCAACGATGATCGGATCATTCGATGGTGGCAGATGTTGGGTGAAAAACTGGGTGTGATATGGTATAATATCATCCAACATCATCCGTGAATCTAGTCTTCAATCATCTGACTATGATCCAGATGGACAAACATCAATGTCGATATCCCCTTCCCCCAAGAGCTTTTAGATGAGGATATCCCCAGAGAAATGGTGCCGGCAGGAATTGGGAAGGAATATGAAGGAATGAAAGCGAAGCCAGTGGTTTCAAAACAAAAATGAATCATAATAATGGTGTATGATACAGTGGTGTATCACTATAATATCTATAATATCCTATATATTATAGTGGTGTATCACTATAATAACATATATTATTATTATTATTGTTATTATTATTATTATTATAGTGGTGTATCATAATTACTATACCCACCAAAAAAGAAAAAAGGCACACGTCCGGTTTCAGTCGAATCATTCTGAAAATCCCGAAGAGGCCTATGAGCTGAAGCCTCGACCCATTGGCAGCTGGGCAGCAACTGAGTGGAACAGATTTGCGAAGTGTTGAGATTTATTGGTGATGTCTTTAGATATCTAGAAAGACATCTTGAGTTTTTTTTAGTGAATGCTACTAATCTGTTGAATATCTGTTGAATATCTGTTGAATATCTGTTGAATATCTGTTGATACTCTTCATATGCGATTTTCGGATTTACCTCCTTGAACCTGAATGGGGAACATGGGCCGCCTGAGGCTTTGGTTCTTACGCGGAGGTCCTCTTGGCCAGACACAAACAAACCAGGATGCTAAGAGCCTTGAAGCGGAAGTGCAAGGTGGATTCGGTTGATGTGGTCGAACATGCAGAGATTGCAGCGAAAAAACGCAGTGTTTTTTCTGGTTGATAGGATTCGGAGTTTTCAGGGTTTAGGGTTTGTCGTCCAGGAAATACCAAAACGCTGGCCCGCAGGTATTTGAGCATGTCTAAGGATATTGTTTGAACACCGTTCTAACCTTCTGGGCAAACCATAGGGTCTTGCCGTAACGTTAGTACGGACAGTACGTTGCATATGTGCATCTATTCCAGAGGTTTGCACATGTTTGCACCAATTGTTGTACTGTCATACCTCAATGATATAGAAGATGAATGATATCTTCGTATTCACACATGTTTTTTTTGTTCACAAAGCGACTCTTTTTTTTCCCTGGCGCAGTGCTCGACGGAGGTGCCAAAGCGGCAGCTCTTGATTGAAGATGATTTGGATGATGATTTGCCCAAGAACCCCATCATTGAGCGGAGCAAGAAACGAAAAGAAGAGGCCCCAATAAATGGGAAAAGAAACCGGACGGGTCCCATCTGTTTTGGTGGGTATAATAATTATGATACACCACTATAATATATTGGATATCATAGCGATACACCACTATCATACACCATTATTCTGATGCATTATTATTTGTTTGGTGCATGTTGAATATTGATCTTACAAAGGCATTGCACCAAAACAAGATGCAGCCCACGAACCCGAATGCAGTCACGTAGAACACTTGTGAGAAACAAGTTATTTGAACAGTCTACATTTTTCCCCTATTACCACCAGTGCGCTGTAGACTGTTGAACGGTGGAGTGCAAAGTGTGGAGTGAAGAGTGTAAAGTGAAGGGTGTGGAGTGTGGAGCACGCAATGCGACACGTCTAAAGTGCTGCCCCTGCCACGAAGCATTCAACGCATCTTCTGAAAACGAAGAGCCCTGCGAGCCACACCCTCAACCCAGACCAGAGTGAAACGGGACCTGACCATTCAACGGTCTCTCCCAGTCCCCTGACCATGAAAGATATTGGATGTTTTCATCCCGTTGATCATCATTTTCCCCGTTAGAGTGGCCATGAACTGGTTGCAAATCTGTTGTAAATCGTCCATTTTTGTTGGATCAAACCATTGTTGTTCACCACAGGTCCGTGAAGTGGAGGTGCTCCTTCGCCTGATTCCCAGCGGTCTTTCCGGGATGGCACTGGCACATCAGCTGCATCCACCCTGTCGTTTTTTCAAATGTGGCCGGGAAATCCCCAAGTTTTAGTTCGCCGGGAAAATGATCTATAGCTAAATGATGCTAAATGATGGATTTTCCAGCAAACCATCTAGCTGGTGACACCGGAGGGTAATAGAGGCTTCCCCTTTTTCTGCAACCAATAGGTCAATAGGTAGATGATCATGATATGATCATGAAATACAATCAACATCAATGAACCCTAACACATACTAACACCAAACCGACCCTCATGTATTCTTGCTGGGAACATGTTGAGCTGCTGCGTGAAAATTCACAGAGAGGTTTAGATCATCCCAATGTGGTGAAGCTCTATGAAGTCTTTGAAGATGAGGAGCTGAGGTTTATGATCAGATTTGGCCTTCAGTATTGACATGTATTGACCCCCCATTGGGTGAAGTTGCTGATGCAGATTTCAGGAAAATTGGAATAGATGAGCGATTCAATGAAATTTCATGTTGATGTTGTTTTTTAAATTCATATGGGCCATTTGAAGATTTTGAAGATGGGAATGGCAAGTTCAGTTAAAAGTCTTGGGTGAAAAGTAGATCCCTAGCGTATGGAGTTGACATTCCAGGAGAATATTTGCCTCATTATGGAGCTTCTGAAAGGAGCGGCGCTGATCATTTCAGCAGACTTGGTCATTTCAAACCAAAGATTCTCCAAGAAAAACAGTTGGCATTGCAGATGAAAAGTTCAAAGTATAGAATTCCCAAGCCAGCTGGTTCTTTGTTGTTCTTGGTGACATTTTCAACATATCTCAACCGTTTCAGACAGCTGGAAGGTGGCAGTTTGCTGGAGCGGATTTGCCCGTCCAAAATCAGTTTGGACCCGAAGAGTACCAGCTGCAGTGCCGCGATTTGGGGATTTGGGTCAATCTAAAACAGGTCAAACATCACTGGTTGGTGGTTTGGAACATTTTGATTTTTTTCCCCAATACTTGGGATGATGATCCAATCTGACGAACTCATATTTTTCAGAGGGGTAGGTCAACCACCGACGAGATTATTTGGCTTCTTGATTTTCCATCAAGAAACACAGACAGATGAGATTTCCCATGAAAAAACACAGACAGATGATGTTCTACTCGTTTTTGTTACTCGACTTTCTGTGGTTCACATTTCGCTTCCAGCAAGGTCCTCGTAGTGTGCCCTGGGAAGAAAAGTCTCCTCGGTATGAGTTCGACCGACATCAACAAGGCGGAGCGGCGGAGCGACCGGACCGGCGCGATGATTTGTCGACTCGAAAAAAATCCCAATTGGGTGATGTCGAAAATTAGGGCTTCGAAGATTGGATTTTCTACATCACGAATTTTTAATCTGAAGTTCAGATGTCTTATGATGTCTTGGAGGTTTGTTACTCTGAGCCTTTTGAGCCTCCAAAGGCACGAGCGTCGCATTGCAGGAGTTTGAGGCCCGGATTTTTGTGCTTCGAAGTTCTGGGATGCAGCAGATTTGATACATCCGTTGTCATTCCGATGTTTGCTCCAAAGCCAATTGCAATGACAATTTAGGATGCTGCTTTACATTGTTGGTCTCAATATATTGACATAGTTATATATAATTCTGACATAATTCTCGCAGAATTCTGACCTGAAATTCTCCCATAAAATCAGCATCCCCTTCGCCCTCGCAGGCAGCTCGACTCTTTTGGCAGATGCTGAGCGCAGTGATTCATCTTCACGGTCACCGGGCACCAGCCTCAACTCTGGCAAAAGTCGAGGATTGGGATAGGGTTTTCTCATGTTTTCTCCATGAAATCATGGGTGAAATTGCAGATATGAATGGAGATACCCTCTGGTAATTTAACATAGCTATTGAAAATGGCAGTTTATAGTGGATTTTCCCATTAAAAATGGTGATTTTCCATAGCTATGTTAGTTTACCAGAGGGTATGAATTGGGATATGAATGGGGGAAGGGATCGATTTTTGGTGTTTTTCTCTCATTACGAATATCCCACTATACCGTAGCAGCCCCATAGAATGGTTTGTCGAATCAGCATGATTTTAGTAGGCGAAGCCCACTTCGAATGGTGATATGATGGGATTTTTGGACTTTCCATGTAGCAAAGATAGACCCATGCAACTTATTTACATTGTACAACCTGAATCAACCTGAAACGTAGATCCCTTGACACTGTATGTTTAAGTATACCCATGGACCATCATGAACCTGTATGGATCTACTATTTGCATCTGTTTTGTTTGCACAATAGGTACATACACGCACAGATTTTGACAATCAACGTTACAAATGTTCGAAATGTTTGTTGGCAAACAATCGATAGAATCGGAGGATTGGATTGGAATTGATTGGAATTCATTGGAATTGATTGGATGATGATACAGATGAATATCCCAAGACGTTTTTAGACTTGCAGTGTAAGATGGGATTTTCGAGACCGGCGGGACCAGCTGTGAGGTGGTTCATCGCGACCTGAAGCTGGACTGCCATGCTGGCAGTGGATTCCATGCATGGATTCCATGGTTTCCATGCGATCGATGTGCTGCGTGGCACAGGAACACTTCATTTTTTCCAGTCAAGATGAAAAAGCTCAACTGAAACTGGTGGACCGACCTGGGCATGAACTGAGCTGAGAATTCTCTATTCGAGAAGGGAAAGCAGATGAAAAATATGACAATTCAGAACATCAAGACAAGACTAGGACTCAGTTTCCTTTCACTTATTTCGTTGAGCTCTTTCTGCACTCGTCCTGTGTTTTTTTTGCAATATGAATACATGATCAAGAATCGTATGCAGCTTCTGCAGCTAGACTGAGGAAATCCAATCCTGTCCTGCTCGCATCAAGAAACCGCTGGCATTTGTAGATGTTCATCTCCAAAAAAAAACGGGAAAGACATGTAACTGGAAAGCATGTAACCCAAGAATGACCACAACTTGTATGGGGATGGGTGAAAACATGTCACAACCATGTTTGGTAGCCATGTTTGGAGGAATAACCATCAGAATTAACCAGTGAACTTTTCCGGGTACCATTTGGGTCGGGTCAACTGACCTACAGTTGACCCACATCCTTTGGAAAATCATCCAACCCCAGCTGCAGGATTTTGGGCATGCCTGGCCGTTGAAGCCCATTGCTACCACTGGACTCCTTGAGACGGATGGGATTAGTCTGATGGTGGCGACTCAGCTTGAAAAATGAGCCATTTCCAGATTACCCGCGTTGATTGGGTAGTGGTTTTACAGTTATACAATGTTATATACAGTTATACCTTGTTGGCTGGAGATAGTTATGAAGTTTTCCATGATTTTCATGGGGAATTCTATCCAACATCTATCAAGCCGGTATAAGATGTATAATGGGATGAGATCTTTTGTATTTTTCATGGCTCAAACGGATTGACCGTTGGCGGCTAAGTAGAATTGTGACTTCAGGACGTCACTCTGACGAAGTGTTTCTGCAATGATTTGAACAGAAGTAGCACCTTTCCCAGCAGTCAAAATCTGGTTGGTGGTTTGGAATATGTTTTATTGTCCACAAAAAAAGGATAATTGATAGCACCATTGACTCCCCCTGCTTTGCTGGCCAGCTTCGATGGGCATTCCCCATGGCAGTGCTCCAAAGCAGTGCTCCAAATGTGTTTGCAGGTCCAAGAGATCTCGATTCCAGGAGGAGCAGGGACGAATCGCTACGTTGCCGCTGGCCACTGTAGTTTAGTGCTCCCCACTTTGAGTTGTTTCACCAGTTTCACTAGATACCCTCTGGTTATGACTAACATAGCCATGGAAAATGGCCCATAGAAATAGATGGTTTACCTATTAAAACCTCCATTTATACGGGATTTTCCATGGCGATGTTAAATAACCAGAGGGTACATCCAGGTACAGTCCTGTGATAAAGTTGTTGGTTTGGTGCTCGCTCCAGCTTCCGGATCTTCCGGCCCAGGCTCCAGAAGTTCAAGATGAGAGTTGTGGCCTCAATGCCATGCGGAAATCAATGTGAAATCAATGGCAGCTGCCTCAAAAATGAACGCATCCACTTCTGTTCATGAGGTGATGTAGCTGCACATTTGGCTGACCGCGCGGACAGCCAAATGGGATTTTGGGATTTTGGGGCAGTATGGACATGATTTCGTGTGTTCTAAAGTTATGGATGTTATGGGCTGCCCATTGTGCTTGGGACATTTATTTTGGCATGACATGGGCTGCAACAACCCAGAGACACGATTTGGCAAGGACATTTGGGCGCTCGGTGTTTGCCTTCACGCCATGCTCACTGGCAGGTGCTGTTGAGGAGTTTCTGTTTCACATAGCGGCTACACTTTAATGAAACCAACAAGTCCCAACTGCATGATGACCGCTATAGCTGCTATATAATGCCAACATCGGATTAATCAACCGCCCCCCCCCCAGAAGGTCAGAACTCTACCTTGTAGGTCATTTTCTTGATCCCCCTTAATAATAAGCAACTCTGAACCATAAAACTTTGGATATGGCTTCCGTCAATTAGATCTTAATAGAATTCCATTGGATTTGTTAAAATCTCATGGATCAGAAAGGTGGTTGATTAATCAGGGGCAAATCGTGGTTATTATTAATGGGGGACATGGGCTCATGGGGGGTACCCTTTGGGAGCTATCCAAATTGATGATTTTTATCAAGATTTTAATTAGAAATCGATCATTTGGGGAATAGTTGTTTTTTGAAATTTTCAATGATCAACTTAAACCTTAAGTATAACAATGATGATAAAAAAAATGTAAAAAACAATTGGAAATAAATAGAATTGGAAATAAAAAGTGTTGGATAAAAGAATGGATTTCAGCACAGGGGGTTGATTAATCATGTCCCAGCCAAACGCTTTATTAATCCTGGGGGACCACCCTTTGTTAAATTACATAAAAAAAAATTGGGCAGAGGGGGTTGATTAATACCGCGGGGATTATTAATCCTAACTTGGCATTACATAATTATATATATAGTATTATATATATAGTATTATATATATAGTATATAGTATTATATATATATAGTATTATATATATAGTATTATATACATAGTATTATATATATAGTATTATATATATATATAGTATTATATATATAGTATTATATATATAGTATTATATATATAGTATTATATATATATTATACATGTACATATGTTGTAAACAATTACAGGTATTGTTACAGGTACATCGGCCTACCAAAGCCGTGAGGCTTCTACCAGTGAGTGGGACGCTCACACAGGCCGAGGATTTCACCGTCGTTATGCAACAGGTTTAGTTTCAGCCCATGAAATTACTTCGTTATATCATGTTATATCATGTTACCCTCTGGTAAACTAACATAGCTATTGAAAATTGCCATTTATAGTGGATTTACCCATTAAAAATGGTGATTGTCCATAGTTCGGTTAGTTTACCAGAGGGTATATTGTGTTATATCATGTTATATCATTGTATATCCCCCCAATCAACCATAGAATTCACTAAGTTGGGTTCAAAATCCGGCAACTTAGAAACAAGTCCTATCCATCCATTTCATCAGGTAGCCAGCTTTGACGCAAAGACTTCAGCACTGGCAGAGGTGGGGATAATGCCGTGATGTCTTGCCCTCGCAATGGCTGAGTGGGTCAGAAAGTTGGGATATCATTGGTGAGAATCTGTAAAGAATGTAGATGTGGATACAACATGATAATATCATGATGTGGATATAACATGATATAACATGATAATAATTTTTGGTTAGTGGTTTCAGATGTAACTGTTGAGTTCGCAAGATTTGGGATGATCCGCAATGATGGAAATCATAAACTGATATGATGTGACGTGTGTGTGTGTGTGTCGTGTTAGTCAATCTTATAAACAACCATAGAAGTGAGAAATGTCCTGGAGAGTATTCTGGATTTTTTGTGCTATGGGCAAATACATTACATGGGGGTTATGTATTTTATATATATATATATTACCCTTTGGTTTTTTAACATAGCCATGGAGAATGGCCCATTTATAGATGGTTTACCTATTAAAAATGGTGATTTTCCATGGCTATGTTAGTCATAACCAGGTTGGGTATATTCTAAGTACATGCGCCATACAGAATCTAGACGTCATGATTTGACGCAGCCAGGCCGAGATATGGTGGGGAGGATATGGCCTCTCTACTTTGGCCATTGACTTGTAAAGTGCTGAGAAATCTTGAGAAATCTGAAAGCAAACATGGGTATGTCTGAAAATGGGGTATACCCCCAATTATAGCCATTTAGTAGGGATAATGATCAGCAAAACCATTGGGTGTAGGGGTACACTATTTTACCCACATGGCAAGATTTTAGATGAACAGCCGCTTTGAGCATCCAAAAAGTTTGCTTACCTATAAAGTGATGTTCCGATTGCTGTTTGGCAACGATTGGCCAATAGTCTTGAACTAGGACCTTTGGGTGCCATTCCCGACCCAACAGGAGGTTTCCCAAGTCATGGAGGTGCCCGTAACTGGCGGTACCTCCATGACCAAACGGAAACCTCCCGTTGCAGCCGAGGCTCAAAGAACTTCTGAGACTGAAACCAGAGAAGCGGCCCAGTGCTGCGGCCATCGCCAGACACCCGTGGCTTGTCGGGGTTCTCAGAATGGACGTCCAAGTTCATATATATATATATATACATGTAGAATACATTAGATACATACGCGATATATGTTCACATATGTCTACATACATACATACATACATACATACATACATACATACATACATACATACCTACCTACCTACCTACATACATACATACATACATGCATGCATGCATACATACATACATACATGTATATATATATATACGTACGATATATGTTTACATATGTCTATATATATAATATGTAGCTCTGGATCAATTTTGGCACCCCTTGGACCAGCTTGACACCAGACATTTTTTACAAGTTTTTATAGACATATTTTTCGATTCATATCCCCCCTGAAGAAAATCCTGGGTTTAGCCGACCACTCAGGAGATTGCTGCCCGTGATGACCTCGCTGAAGCAGCAACTTTTATGATTCCCAGGCGGCCAAATGCGGAATAGTTGCCAAAATTTGGTCATTTATGGATCATGTAATGTACATATATAAAGATCTACATATAGCTGGGTCATTTTGTTCTGCGAGGTCTTTTGAATGACATTTTTGGTTTCTAAGTGGTGAGCTGTTTGTAGGTTCATCAGCGACCTGAACGTCATAATGGAAGCAACGTCTCTTCGACGACTCTTCCTTTTGGCAGTGGCTAGGCAAGCAGAGGCCCGTGAAATGCCGTGGAATGCCATGGGGATTAACATATCTTGGCATCTTGAAATAGGTCTGTCTGAAAATTGCTTAAATGCCCATGAAAAATCTCATGTGGCCATTGTTTGCAGGGTTTCCCTGCAGGGAAACTCCATGGTTTTCAGAGAAACCCAATAAAAAACACTGATTTCCACATTTTTGGCGTTTCTTTCCACATTTTTTCCCACCGTCAGATCGGTGAGGACGAGGATTGCTACCCTTTCCCGTGTCTCTTCCGGGCCTTGGAGGCTGGATTTGGGGTGGAGGCTTTGGACGGCTCTTATTTGCGTATATGGAAAGTAGTATTCGGGCGTACCCCGGTTTGTCAAAAACATCATATTTAGTTGTAAAACGAGGTAGGAACACCCCGAGAACGAGGCAGGCAAAAACGTTACGGGACTGGAGAACGAGGTAGGAACAGCCCGTCAATTGCGTTATGTAACAAATATGGTTCGCAGCTCATATCAAAAGATATGAAAAGATATGAAAAGATATGAAAAAATATGGAAAAATATGAAAAAATATTAAAACATATGAAAAGTAAGTGCTTCATAAATTCCTTGAAACCTTCAACCTGTTAGATCCAGATGTCAACTTCTTCAAACCAATGGGTCGCTTCAGGCGCAATGTCGTGGACCTCTGACTCAGAAAGCCATGGCGATTGCGCTTCAGAGGCTGGATATGTTCGGTATTGGAGGATGGAAGAGTTGGGTATGGGAAATTGGATTTGTTGATTGCTGATACTTCTGTTTGGTCATGGTCAATGCTTTGGAACATATATTTCTGTTTGTTGAGACTAGAGTCTGACTAGACATATCCCCGTGTCTTCACCAATGTCTTAAGACTTGATTTTTTCGAGATCGGAGTTTGGAAAAATACTAAGAAATTCCTATGATGGTGCCAGTGGTGCCATGATGTGCCATGGGAAATTGATGGTGCCATTGGTGCCAAAATCCAGGCTGGGGAGCCTCCAGAGCCCAGCACCGGAGCAGCAGTTGCTGTTGCAGGTCATGAAAGTCGGGGAGCCATGGGGAGCCCAGCCGGGTTGGACACGTGCTGAAAAGGTTGCCGGGTGGTGTACCAAAAACGGATCCGTTTTGGGGTCATGACATTGGTCAAAGTTTCAAGTTACCATAGATGCAATAGATCTGATCATTGATGATCATTGATTTGGGCCATTTCTGCTATCAGGATTCCTTGAGAGAACTTACTTTCATAAACGTATCATGTATATATACATATAATATATATATATATATACTAATATAATATATATATATATATAGATATAGATATAGATATCTTATATTGGAGACCTATCATATCTTTCCAACGTTTCCCTTGGGACCAGCAGGACGGATCACCGGACGGACCCACCGGACGGATCCAGCAGGATCACACGTCACCGCCGCATCCACCGAGGCCGTGTATGTGGTCATGGGAGCCATCGATGCAGATGCCTCTGGGAGTATCAGCTGGGCAGAGTTCCTGGCCGCCATTTTTCTGAGCCAGGAGGGGGAACACTCGACATGACGCTGGGCTGGAAAAGGGCTTGGAAGATGGAGATTATAGCCGATTATTTATAGCCATAAATACAATCATCAGCCATAAATCCATTGGAAATGTTCATGGATTGTCATGGATTTTCTGGATCTTGCTGTGATCTTCACATGTAGCACCAGTGGTTTCCACTCAGCTTCCCAGCTTCGGGCTGGTCTCCTGATCCAATGTCGCCCCAGTGGAGGAAGAAGTCCTGAAGTCTCTGCGGAAGAAACAGCTGCAGGCCTAGTGGAGCCGATGAATGTCGTCCAAATGCTGGTTTTATCTCCAGGTTCTTGAGGAAAACCATGATTTGTTCATTGGACTTGTGGTGGGGATTGGTTCGTGGATGAAGAAGAACAATTTTTGATGAATCCAGGAGAGTGCCTTTGATCGAGCATGTTTTCGGGCCTTTGATCATCTGTCCATGAGTGGGGGAGCCTCAAGGGTGGAAACTGTGGAAACTGATGGTGCATAAAAGGACCCAGAATGGGATGAAACCAGTTTTGTTGACAAACAATCCCTTCCTCTAAAATGACCCAGAGTTTCTGGTGTTGTGTTCGTTATGTATAGTCTATAGTACAGTTTTGTATTCATGTTGGGAGCCCATATTGGGGGTACTGTTTTAACAGGGGATGCGAAGAGTTGTGTCATAGTGGTGTCATGTGTTAAGGCCATGGGGGGACACCATAAAATGGGAAGTTATACCATAGATGTCCAGCGATGGTTCAAGACAGATTTTTTTTTTAAGATATTGGGTGAGCCCACTAGAACATCCTGAAGGGATCCCATGCCTTTTTGATTCCTCTATCTTTGATATCTTTGGGATAGGTTGAAGCCACCAGCTCAGATGATACCGTTCGGTTTTCCACAATCATTGGATTGGTTTAAGTTGTTTTTTTTGGCAGGAAAGCTCCATATGTGATGGTCAAAGCCATGAATTTCCTGTAGATTTTCCCTCCGGCGCTCCTCTCAGGCCATCAAAAGATCTCCCCAAGCTCGTTAGACTCTGAGGGACTTCCAAGTTGGCGTCATGGGTCATGTCAAGTTGGTGTCATGATACGATATTTGAGAGGTGTTGGGTATCACATTATCACCATATATTACATACATATATATATATATCATATATAATTGTATAAGTACATATCATTATAAACCCGTATTAACCCTTAATCATTGATAATAATCGTTATTGTATACCATTATTACCTCATCAGCCAAACATGTGTGAAATTTCGAACTGGCCGCCAAGGTTGTGCCGTACCCTCCGGTCGCACAAGGCAGCCGTTTTGTGATTCTTTGGGACGCAGAAAACTGGTGGTTGGACACTGGGGACCATAAGTGAAACATCCATGGGATCTGAAAACTACCAACGGATTTTCACATCCAGATGTTGGACAGTATTTGGAAGTAAAACATTATTTACTTCTCATAAGATCTAAATGATCTAAAGAATTCTAAAGAGCTCGTGGCACTTCAGTTTTATGGTAATGATGATTAATGATGGTAATGCCAACCATGAACATTTTGTTTTGTCCAGTTATCAGAATTCTCAGTTATCTTCATTCTGATTCATGGTCTCAACATTGTCAGACTCCTTCTGATCGAGGCACACAAAGCTGTTGTTGATCCCGAGGTGCATCAGCAATTTCTCGTCTAGTGATGCAATTTCCCGGTTTTTTCTTACATGAGTTTGTCTGAACATGTTGGGAAAGAACAATATTTCATAATGAACATTCTGAACAGCCCAAAATCTGATGGCTGATTCTGGTTGATTATCATGATCCTGATCAACATACTTTCGGACAAAGCCACATGTCAGGCCATGTTCAAAGAGTCCCACACTTAGCAGCTTAGGCATTGACCGGCAATTCACCAATATTCACCATAGGTGACACACACACAGTTGAAGCGAGGTTCGATTCCATCCCGGCATTTTCACTGGAGGACGCTGGTGTTGTGCTGGGCCCGCCTGAGATCCATTTGGTGAATCATGAAAAAAATGTGGAAACATCCATACCCAATGGTTGGTGTATGTTGGTGTTCAATGTTTTTTTTAATCCATACCCAACACACATCCAAACACCAAACATGTAATGTTTGGAACATTTTGGAACTCACCCGAAATTCCATTAATTTAGCATCAAACAAACAATCAAATCAATCAACAGCTCAAAATGACCTCCCCCCAGTTCCAGACTCATCCCAAAAGAAGACGAATCATCACCATATGACTCTAGAGGTACCCTCTGGTAAACTGTCACATAACAATAAACTATGGAAAATCACCATTTTTCATGGAAAAACTCACTATAAGTGGTGATGTTCCATAGTTCTGTCAGCCATAACCAGAGGGTATCCCTCCAAAAAATAGGTCCATGATTGGTCCACAGGACTTCCTACAGACCTTGGACGGTGTGGAGATGCCATTGCTGAAGGAATCCATCGCGGAAGAGCCGCTGCCACCGCTGCCGCCGCCCAAGGAGTCTCGAGACGAGGCTCCGCCCATGTTTGATCAATGGATCCGAGAAAAATCTCAGCGGAAAACAAAGGAATGACATCAAAGATTAGGACATCTTCAAAATAATATAGATAATAATAGTCTATGAATCTGATATATATATATATATATGAATCTGATATACATACATCTATTCTTATCTATTATTAATCCATGACGGATCCATGGTGCTGGTATATATACTAACATAAAGGGGGTATATTGATGGGATCCATGGAGCACCATTAATATAGCAGCACCATGGATCCGTCATGGGAAAGATTCGGACATCTTCAAAATTTGGAAGGTGTGAAATCACCATGAAAGATTAGCTATTGAAGATATTGAAGATATTGAAGATCAAAGATTCGGACATCTAGAAATTCACAATTCTTAGGTCTGGTGATCTGGAAAATTCTGGAAAGGTGGTCAGAATTGGTGATTTTTCACACGCCTTTGCTCGACAGGAAACTCGACAGGAAGCTCGACGGAGTTTCGGAGGAACGGAGGAGCGGTTGGTGGAGGCATTTTGGGATGGCTCCATGGAGGTGGGAAATTAATGGAAATGACGTATTCGAGACAACCAACATGTCAATATATGTCAATAGATTTCAATATTTCAATGTGGGTCTTAATTAGTGCCAAAAAGGACTTTTTATAATCACTTTATCAATACTTTCTAGAAGCTTCCTAGTCTTGATGCAACTCTTTGGACGGTGTTCTCATGCGGAAGAGGGATGTTGGCGTCCGAATCACGCTGGATTTCATGCTTGTCTATTGGGGCTTCTCCACTCTTCCATGGGTCCTTTGGATGTCACTAATGTGTCCATGTGCGGCAGGAATTTATATGGGATGAACCCTGACGGCCCAGTGACAAAAAGTCTTTTTGCGTCGCACATGCAGATATTGGAGATTTGAATTTGAGACCCCTTGAGCCAAGAAAAATCCATTGCTGTGCTTGAAGTATTTAAGTATTTCATGATATGTCATGTAGATCTCAGAATTTACAAAGGTCCCAAACCACTGAAACCAAAATTGAAACCATCAACTCAAAGGTCTCAAAATGTCTCAAAGGTAGGCACGAGAAGATGGACTCTCAGCGTTCTCCAAAACTGGATGCGCCTGAAATGAAAATCGCTGCGCAACGTGTCACCTGAAGGTTTTTCTGCCTCAAAGCTAGGTAAATTTCGTGAGATTCTGTGGCGTTTTGCGCGGAAAAGATGACCGGAAGTTCATGAGTAGAACTCATCGTTTTGATGATTTTAAACTACGTATGTTTAAGAGATTTTAAGTCCGTTTTAAGTGCATTTCTCAACCATAAACACCCTTGTGTTGCTTGTGGCAACATGTGTCGTCGCTGAGGTCGCGACACGCAAGACATTCCGAAGGCATAGGACGGCCTGGGCTTCACTGGGGACAGACACATGCCATGAACATCCATTAACATCCATCAACATCAACCTGGTTGGTGGTTTGGAACATGAATTTTATGACTTTCCATATATTGGGAATAATCATCCAAACTGACTTTCATATTTTTCAGAGGAGTTGAAACCACCAACCAGCAACTATATCAGACTAGATCAGTGAGTATATCAGACTATATCAGTGAGTATATCAGACTGTATCAAAGTATCAGACTATATCACCACCTGCTGAATCTTGTTTTCAAAATAAGTTGGCCCATTTGATATATTCCATGACATTCTATGACATTCCAAGTTTTGTGATCAGGCTTCGACAGAGCAGCATCAGCCCGTAGTCGCATCTGCGACTCTGCCGTTGAAGCTGGTCCAAAAAAGAAACGCGCTTCTCTGTTCAGAACGTAAAGCATCTCCTGAAGGTCTCTTTTCTTATCTTTCCTTGAAGAAGTTAAGGTGAAGTTAAGTTAAGGTCTAAGGTGAAGTGAAGTGAACGAATTTATTTCCGGACTTTCTGGGATGTACATGGTCTTCAAGGCTTCATCACAGGGGCAAGCGGCAAGCAAAAGGGCCATATCAAGGGACCAATTGAATAGAGCACGTAGAAAATCAATGACAATCCATGAAAATCAAAGAATATATATATATATATATGTAGTTATAAAATTATCTTTATATATATATATGTAAAGATATATCTAAAGATATATCTAAAGATATCTATAACGATTAATATAGACCTATAATATGGAGCTTCTGACATTGGTCAACCAAACACGAAGCTCAGCTCCGCCATGGTGCGAAAGTACGACTCCAAACTGGTTCGGAAACTCAGCCGCTCGTGGCGAAGTGAGTTTTTTGTGGCTCGCATCCCGTTGGCGTTTTTTGGATCTGGTGATTTTCTGGTGATTTTTGGGAACTTGAGCATATTCTGAATGATGGGCCATTTTTCTGATAGAATATCATGAGAAATGTGAATGAGAAAACTCCATGAGAAAATCATCATCATTCAGAATGAGAATATCATCATATCTCATGAAAATATGTGTGAATATCATGAGAAAGGATGCGAATGTGATGAAATGTGAGGAGATGCTGTGCATGATGAAAATTCTCCTGAGGATGTGCCCCTAGATGAGCTCGCAGAGATTGAAAAGGTCCCGGGTGGGCATAAGCAAAATCTGCCCAGATATTCTAGAGTCAAAGAAAAAGTGGAGAAAATATGGGTTTTCACTGTCCGCCCCAACCCGGACGTTGCTCCACACTTACAATCGTCGTCGTCATCGTCATCGTCATCATCATCATCATCATCATCATCATCACCATCATCATAATCATCATCTTTATCTTCATGAGGGGTCAAAATTCGCCACCCCCTATGAACAATATGTTGATTGGGGTAATAACATCAACTTCATCTTCATGAGGGATCAAAATTCGCCACCCCCTATGAACAATATGTTGACTGGGGTAATAACATCAACTTTATCTTCATGAGGAATCAAAATTCGCCACCCCCTATGAACAATATGTTGATTGAGGTAATAACATCAACTTCATCTTCATGAGGGATCAAAATTCGCCACCCCCTATGAACAATATGTTGACTGGGGTAATAACATCAACTTTATCTTCATGAGGAATCAAAATTCGCCACCCCCTATGAACAATATGTTGATTGAGGTAATAACATCAACTTCATCTTCATGAGGGATCAAAATTCGCCACCCCCTATGAACAATATGTTGACTGGGGTAATAACATCAACTTTATCTTCATGAGGAATCAAAATTCGCCACCCCCTATGAACAATATGTTGATTGAGGTAATAACATAAACTTTATCTTCATAAGGGATCAAAAATCGCCACCCCCTATGAACAATATGTTGATTGGGAATGATTGGGACAATAACATCAACTTTATCTTCATAAGCGATCAAAAATTGCCACCCCCTGTGAACAGTATGTTGATTAGGGTAATAACATCAACTTTATGTTCATAAGGGATCAAAAATCGCCACCCCCTATGAACAATATGTTGATTGGGAATGATTGGGATAATAACATCAACTTTATCTTCATAAGGGATCAAAATTCGCCACCCCCTGTGAACAGTATGTTGATTAGGGTAATAACATCAACTTTATCTTTATAGCCACCTGAAGTCAGACGCGGAGCAACGTCAGGGTTGCAGCGCACATGTCTTATAATTTTGTGCACCATCCAAAGCATGTGTTCCCGATTTTTTTGTATACTGAAAGGAGTTCTCAGAGCCCAGTGTTCAGGGAAATGGATCTGGAAACACCCGAGTCTTCGCGTGACACTCAGAGCTGAGTTTGGGTTTTCAAGTTGCAGGGTGCGACTTTTTTTTTGGAGGTTTTGTCATATTTCAAGAGCGTTTTGTCGTTCACCGATGTTTTGATGCACCCTGAGGTGGGCAATTTGCCGTACAGTACATCTTGGCAGGATTTGAAAGATCACATGCGGAAGGCTGGCGACGTGCTCTTCTGTGAGATTCTGCAAGAGCCTGGCACAGCCACTGGGACCCTGGGATGGGAAGTTGCGATGGGAGGTGCTTGATGTTGATGATGTTGATGATGTTGATGATGTTGATGTCAGGCCATGATTTCCTTCAGCTTCCAAAAGATACGCTTAAAATGTATCAAACTGTGGCTTTCCTGTTGGCACATTCTGATCATTCTGGGATTTAGAACGGGAAAAGCGGAACATGAAATCTCCATTTTAATGCAGGTGGACGATGATCGTTTTGAAATCATTTCTATTGGAAATTGCCTATCTGGATTTCAATCTCAAACTCAATGAGATTCATATTTGCCATAGATGTGGATAACTTTCTTCACGACCTTACTGCGACCCCAATGGAACAATGATCATTCAATGATGAATAATGCTTATAGTAGGGGTAACTATCCCAACTATCATTCAACTATCATCCAACTATCCCAAAACCAACAAGTTTGTGAAGCATTGTCACTGTCATTGCTGAAGTGTTCCCCAGAGGTTCCATCCCTAAGCACCAACGAACTATCCAGAACTCAGGCATTGGGCTCCAAGGGTTGCGGTTGGGTTCCTTAGTTTCGAGGGCTTTTTCGAGATGCCCATGAGAAAAAATCTCATGATTCGTGACGATCATGGGATACTTATTGATACTTATGATACTTGAGTTGCTACATGTTGCGAGCTGCCCATGATTGAAAAACACAACCTTCAGCAAATCACAAACCTTCATCTCATTTTGTTTCTACGTTTACCGTGTTGGCAACCTGCCACTAGGGCGCCAGAGGAGTCTATGCAGTTGACGATGAAACAGCTTCGAGACAACAACAAAAAATCCTGGAACAGTCAACCCTTTCAACATCTTTCAACATCTTTCAACATCTTTCAACATCTGTCACTCAACGTGTCACCCAAGGTCTTGTAGAGTTCGCCACTCCTGCAGCTGTCAGCAGCTCGATGATTACCGATCTAGGCACGGTGCAGTGGATCTCCGTGCATCTGCGAGGCGCAGAGAGCCATCTCAGATCTCACTGGCACGGTAGCTTGACTGAAGCTGATCACGGGATCAGTATGATACTGATGCCGTAAAAAAGCAGGGATGATGTTGCTACAATAAAGACACTCATAAATGAATCATGAATTTATATCATAAATCATCACAATCTTATCATTTTCAGCCTTCATTTCCTGAGCTGGTTCAACTTCGAGACGTCGAACGATCAGGTTATACAGGGACGACAGATCTTTGTGCGAGAGGATCGAGAGCCCGGAGACCCAAGGCGAAAAGCAACAGCGGTGTCTGGCAAAATGGAAGTTCCCTAAACCCTAAACATCCCTAAACCCTGGATTTTCCCATTCAAAACGACCTATCAATCTTAAATCATAGCTCCTTTTTGGGGTGAGCGTTTTTCAGCAGATATTTTTTTGTTGGAACTCCCACAGAAACAGATTCCAAGGAACGAGAACAGCCTGCATATCAGCTCCATGGGCCGAAGAGTCTTCGTCGGGCGCGGTTTCAGCCCTTTGAATGTTCGATGCAACAAAGCAAGATCATGCATACTTCGGCTATGGAAACTGTATGGAAACTGCATGGAAACTGTATGGAAACTGTATGGAAACTGTATGGAAACTGCATGGAAACTGTATGGAAACTGCATGGAAACTGTATGGAAACTCCGGAAACTTCAAGTGGCCAAAGTGTCTTGGACACATCTCGATCTGGCCAGGAACTTGGCATATAGCGTGAGCTGGCAGGACCACTGTGCCGATTCCACAATCTTTCGCTGGGAAGAAGCGAAATGAGTCGAAATGAGGTTAGAATATGTTAGAATGGGAATATCAATGAATATATATATATATATACCCTCTGGTTATGACTAACATAGCCATGGAAAACTGCCCATTTCTAGATGGTTTACCTATTAATAGCATGGGCCATCTATACCATGGCAAACTGTGAATGTCATAACTATATATAGAGGGTATAAACCAGATCAACCAACCATCATGGGTAGCTATGGTAGCTGATTTCGGAGAAATGTCCATCCAAAAAATCACCGACGTTTCGGCCGCTTCAGGACCTTAAGGATCACATGCGGCAGTGTGGTGAGGTCCTGCGGCTCCAGTTGGACAAGTAGTTTGGCCTCAAAAGACCGGCCCGGAAAATGCACCGAACACCAAATAGGTCTGTATATATTATACCTGCATGGTTGATGGTTTGGAACATTTGGATTATTTTTCCATATATTGAGAATAATCATCCCAACTGACTTTCATATTTTTCGGAGGGGTTGAAACCACCAACCAGATACACACATACAGATAAACAAAGCAATCATGCAATCCCCAAAAAGATAGAAAGTAGAATCCAGCCAAAATGGCCGTAAATCACTGGTGATTTTTTGCTGCTGGTTTACCTTGAAGTATTGGAAGTGAACCAGTGGTACCGGAATGGTTATGGGTTCAACAGATGATGATTTATCCAAGAAACCAGCAGCTAGTTGTTGGTCCAATATGGGTGTCTGAAAATGGGGGAAAAATGCTGCATGTTCTATCCATTTTCTCTATTTTAAGGGGGGAAAAATATGGAAAAATGATGATAAACCATGAGAAACGAATAGATTTAGGGACCCATATCCTGCCAGGTGTTGCATTGCGACATCATGCGGGAACCCAACACCGCAATGGGCTCGAAGGGCTGCGGTCGGAAACCCGGAAACCATCGGAAACCCAACGCAGTCATTTCGCAGCCAGAGGTTTTTGGTTCAACATATGGAGTTAATATATGTTAATGAATAGTTATTGTATATGTGAATCTGGTTGGTGGTTCCATCTTATGATTTTCCATCTTATATGATCTGATAGATGATTTCAAGTGTTCGAAAATTGGTGGGATTGGTTCTTCAACCACCAACCAGAAGTCGTGTGACAACCTGATGAGCTGGCGGAGCACAGTTTTGAATTCAGGCATAGTGGAATTTGCTTCTGCATCGTCGGCGAAGCGAGCCATCCAAGATATGTGGAAGCCTCAAAAACCGGTGGGAATCCATCGGAAGCCATTCCGAAATCAGCGGCAGAGGCTGATTTCGGTGTGTTTTGGTGTCCAAAAAAATCAAACAAAAAAGTGAGGTCATCATCAAACTAGGGATTGACTTTTGTTACCTTCTCGGTGTCCCCTTTTTGGCTCTACAGCTGAGCGTGAATCTGCTGTGCCCAGGACCGACTCGATCCTGAAAGGGCGACCGATTTTTGTGCGCGAGCAGCTAAGTTCTTACAGATTTCACCATACAAAGGGGAGAATGTCAATCCCATAGGATCCATGTATATGCTATATATGGTAACATGGATCCCATCAATATACCCCCTTTATGTTAGCATATATACCAGCACCATGGATCCTATGGGAATGGGAAAGTTTCACAGCATGTTTGATTTAACATGATTTAACCATGTTATTCTGTGGCGATCAAACCTGGCTAAACCTGAGAACTCCACGAAATTTTTCATGGTCAAATCAGAGAGAGACATCAGGAAATTCACATCCAGTTATAGCTTCAATACCCATAGAATCCATGTATGGTATATATATATACTAACATTGGGGGTATATTGATGGTAAATGTTACCATATATAGCATATATGGATCCTATGGGATAGATTAGTTGTTCTCATGAAAAACAACAGCGATTTTCCAACATTTTCCATCCAGTCCAGATGCACAAAAAAGGCGAAGACCGGGAAGAACGTGGCGGCTCAGGTCAGGCAGTTCCAAAATGTTTCATGTTCCACCTTGGATTGAATGGGATGCAGGTTTTTTTGGGGGGCTTTTTTGGTTGATGAAGACGGTGGAAAGCACCAAGAATTTGTTGTGATTTATGGGATACTGAACCATTAGTGGTATTTCTGGTCCAAACATGGGAGACTTCACCAAAAATCATAGCGCATCACAGAACAGGCGGAAACCATATGTTATATATATATATATTGAAAACACCCTGAGATTTTGGGTTAACGGTTAACCTGTTGTTTCAGATAAACCCACGCCCAGATGATTTTCCAAATGACCAGGGGAATGAACATACATTTAATCATTGACCGCCTTACATCTGACTATACCCATAGGATCCATGTATGCCATATATGGTAACATTTACCATTAATATACCCCCAATGTTAGCATATATACCATACAGGGATCCTATGGGATATCAAATAAATCCGGGTCCCCCGCAAAAAGTCGAAAAAGACAGGAACAGCGTGAGAGTTTCTCGGATCAAACCTGGTGTCAAATCCCCAGGCAACCAGGCAAGTTTCCCCTGAAAATGGGTGAATTCAACGCCCAGGACGAGGCGAACGGAGGGACGTGGCAGCCCCAGAATCTGACAGCTTCTGAGTTTTGGGACTTTGGGGTGTCAGATTTCAGGCTGTTTCCAGATTTGTTGCAGATGAAACAAGCAGATATATTACCCTCTGGTAAACATACAAAAAAACGATGGAAAATCACAATTTTTAATGGGAAAAATCACTATAAATGGCAATTTTCAATAGCTATGTCAGCCATTACCCGAGGGTAGATGGACTGGAAGCATCGATAGTTAAAGCTTGGCACCGACCCAGATGTGGCACCACCGTTACAAAAACCGTTCATCGATTCATGAAAGGCGACCCCGCTGAGGCCAGATTTGGAAGACCCGAACGACGCGAGCGATTTGGACGAGCGCGAAGTCGGCTCATCCCCAAGTTGTTTTTTTTTGGAGTTGCCACACAAACTGGGAACGTTTCAAAGCGAGCACATCCCCATTCAGAAAGGTGTTTTGACTGATGGTTGAAGTAGGAAAACCAATTTTGGTTTGGTTTTTCCAATGCAAAAAATTGTACGTGTGTTAAAACATGGTGTCGGGCATCTGAGAGGCTCGCGACTGTCGTCACTTGTCAAACATTTTCTAGGGGGGAATTGAAAAGGCTCAAAAACGAAACTTTAGTATCGTCAGCAATATCATCATCATCATCATCATCATCATCATCATCATCATCATCACGTGTGGAAGTGCAAGAGAATCTACCGCAGCGTAGCATGACGCATGTGTGGAAGTGCAAGAGAATCTACAGCAGCGTAGCATGACGTATGTGTGGAAGTGCAAGAGAAGCTACCGCAGCGTAGCATGACATATGTGTGGAAGTGCAAGAGAACCTACAGCAGCCTAGCATGACGTATGTGTGGAAGCGCAAGAGAATCTACAGCAGCGTAGCATGACGTATGTGTGGAAGTGCAAGAGAATCTACAGCGTAGCATGACGTATGTGTGGAAGCGCAAGAGAATCTACAGCAGCGTAGCATGACGTATGTGTGGAAGTGCAAGAGAATCTACAGCAGAGTAGCAAGACGCATGTCTGGAATTGCAAGAGAAGCTACCGCAGCGTAGCATGACGTATGTGTGGAAGCGCAAGAGAATCTACAGCAGCGTAGCATGACGTATGTGTGGAAGTGCAAGAGAATCTACAGCGTAGCATGACGTATGTGTGGAAGCGCAAGAGCATCTACAGCAGCGTAGCATGACGTATGTGTGGAAGTGCAAGAGAATCTACAGCAGCGTAGCATGACATATGACATTATGTGTGGAAGTGCAAGAGAACCTACAGCAGCCTAGCATGACGTATGTGTGGAAGCGCAAGAGAATCTACAGCAGCGTAGCATGACGTATGTGTGGAAGTGCAAGAGAATCTACAGCGTAGCCTGACGTATGTGTGGAAGCGCGAGAGAATCTACAGCAGCGTAGCATGACGTATGTGTGGAAGTGCAAGAGAATCTACAGCAGCCTAGCATGACGTATGTGTGGAAGCGCAAGAGAATCTACAGCAGCGTAGCATGACGTATGTGTGGAAGTGCAAGAGAATCTACAGCGTAGCCTGACGTATGTGTGGAAGCGCAAGAGAATCTACAGCAGCGTAGCATGACGTATGTGTGGAAGTGCAAGAGAATCTACAGCGTAGCCTTACGTATGTGTGGAAGCGCGAGAGAATCTACAGCAGCGTAGCATGACGTATGTGTGGATGACGTATGTGTGGAAGTGCAAGAGAATCTACAGCGTAGCCTGACGTATGTGTGGAAGCGCGAGAGAATCTACAGCAGCGTAGCATGACGTATGTGTGGAAGTGCAAGAGAATCTACAGCAGCGTAGCATGACATATGTGTGGAAGTGGAAATTGCATTTTTATCCCACCCCACCCCACCCCCCCGCTCAATGTTATTTTCATGGTAGAATGCAAAAAATGACAACAGTCGCGAGCCCCCCAGATGCCCGGCACTTAAAACATGTCCTCAATTCGCAGACCACCAACCAATGCCACTTGTTTCCATCGCTCCAACCTTCAGATCCTACAGCGGTGGACGGCAACGGTGGCAGCCAGTTGGAGGACTGGGAGATGTCAAATCCTCCAGGATTTTGGTGGATCTCCAGTGATGTGTCAGGAGGTCGCAACAGAGATGGTGGTGGTAACCGCCGGGTCTTTGTGGGCAATTTGGCTTACAGCAACGGTCTGAGTATGTCTGAGTCATCTGAATCCGGCTGCTGGTTGGATGAGTTTCTTTACATCAGCACTTGCATGGAAGCTCAGATGTTCCTTTTCTGGGTGGAGAGATGATCAACCTTCGGAAAAATACCATTGTTTACCTCCGTCGATCGCAAGGTGTGACATGGCAAGAACTGAAAGATCACATGCGCCATGCTGGGGATGTTCTGCTGGCTACCTAGCATATTGCCGTGACAGTGTTTGCATGAGAAATGATGGACTGTACTCGTTCGGTTACTGGTTCGGTGTTTCTTGTGTATTGATCCTGTAAAGGACAGAGTGTCAACAGGGTGGAAACAGCCGCAAACAGCATCCAGAAATATCCAGAATTTGGGGGCAAAAGAACTTGCAGAAGGAAATGACAAATCGAGAAACCCCAAAATCGAAACCTCAAAGCCTGATTCGTCATGTTACCTTTCTCTCCTGAGGTTCTGCGAGATTCTGAAAGAGCCTGGAACCACCTTAGGCCATGCTTTCAGTGTTTTTCATTCTTCTTCACTTTCTGTCTCAAAATAGGGTTTTACCATGCTTTACCTCTGAATCAATCTGAATCATCCCTGAAAAAATCAGACATCATTTCCCATGGAAAATAGCATAAGTATTCATAAGTTGATATTTATAACATTTTAAAAATACCAGAGATTTCGGTGGTTTCCCCATGTGTCACCAGCGTCCCCAGCCATTTTCCAGGCTCCAAGGGCTGCGCCATCGTGGAGTACCGCACCGCCGCCGAGGCCCGGCGAGCCATCCGCTCCATGACCGACACCGAGCTGCGCGGAAGGCGCGGTGCTTTCCTCCCGCGGGTTTCCGGAGCTGCTGAGCTGCTGGGGGTTGGCATGGGATGAGGATTACCCTTTGGTAAACATACAAAAAAACTATTGGAAATCACCATTTTTAATGGGAAAACTCACTATAAATGACCATTTTCAAGAGCTATGTTAAATTACCAGAGGATTACTGGGTTGGTGGTTTGATTGAAAAAAGGCTGGAAGATCTGAAGGGATGACAGATGAGGATGGATGATGTTTTTTTTTGTGTTCACAGTCGTAGAGAGATGCAATGAAACATGCCCAAAAAATATTGTACATGGGATTTAGTGAAATCCAAACGGGCTTCAAATGCCCCACCCCCCCACCGGAATTTCAAGGCAAATGTGGGTGCGAGAAGATCGCGAGGACCGAATTTCCATTAGCCATCCATTAGCCCATATTCAACATATACCAATAATCTAATCTAGGTGATTTGCCAGTGATTCGAACAAATCGAGCAAAAAAATATACCAAAGCGGCATAGCGGCAGATGAAAACACTGGGTCCACTGGGTGATAGGACAGATAAGGCAGAGGTGTTGGTGTGAAACGACATGAGGGTGACATCTGGACGGCGGCAATGACAGGAGATATGAGAAGACAGGAAAAACTGCTGGAATCCGCAAGAAAAGTGGCGTGCGTATGCCAGCATTCTTCGAACCAACACCATTTTTTTGAGGATTGCACTTAAAACGACCAAGCATCAAATTGCAAAATCATGTTGATAATAATTATCTGATTGGTGGTTTGGAACATGTTTTAATTTTCCATTCAGTTGGGAATGTCATCATCCCAACTGACTTTCACTCCATCATTTTTCAGAGGGGTGGCTCAACATGGCTCAACCACCAACCAGTTATGTCATCTGATGTCCCGAAGCCCAGCTGTCGCGCCTCTTAGCTCCACACAACGTAGCAAAAAATCACGATCCAGCAAAACAATCAAAAGGTATCGTGGCCATGAAGATTGAAGATTGGAATGCGGATTGAAGATTGATATCTTTTTGGAAGTACATTTGGCTACTGATGAATTAAAATACAAGTACAACCTGTTGGTAATAATTCCTTTGTTGGTATTGCACATACCGAAAAAAACCGAACATCGTCCTGCTGACGCCATGAAATGGTACCTGTCCCTTGAAAGGCCACGCATAGATCATGAGTTTCAGAAAATTGGAAGCCGGGAAGAGACGTTTCCCTCTGATAAACATACAACAAACTATGGAAAATCACCATGCGAAAAAATTGGTAAATCCACTATTTCGACTGGGCCATTTTCAATAGTTTTTTGTATGTTTACCAGAGGGTTGGTGTTTTGGTGGGGCACTGGTGTTGCCCCGTGCAGGCGATGTTGCAGTTCTTCCAGAGTTTCTGCTCAGTGAGCTCCCGAGATGCCGATGAAGATCCATTGAAATCGCAGATTTTTATGGTATTTTTTTGGCTGTAGTATGTTGTAGTCACCTAATTTTCTTGACTAATCCATCTTGATGATCTTGATCATCTTGTACCCCCCACCAAGTGAAAAAAAACATTGGATTTCTGGAAGGATTTCTGAAACATAGCTATATGGAGACAACTCAGAGACTTGGGAATATGATTCTCCAAGTCCTCAGGGGAGCAGCTGTGCCCGCCACTCCGACCCTTCTAGCGCTCCGGTTTGGCCGCAAGGCCTGGGACATGTCACATCATCCTATTGGGTCCTACCGATTTGGAAGTGAATGCCCGGTGTGTTGGAACTTGATTCCATGAACCAAAGAAAGTCGCCTTGTTTCAAGGCAGGAACACTTACCCATACTTACCCTGAAATATCTTGATTTGATTTGTTTGATAATGTTTCAAAATTCTTGCACAACCTGAAAAACTACTGGGTGGTTTTCCAGTTAGATTGTCAGAAATGATGCTGGCAGGAGCGAAAGACAGCCTGACCCTCAGGGTCGCAGATCTTAAGCTGAATCTCGTTGCGGAGCGGAAGCAGCACAGCACACATTCCACACTTAAAAAAAGATACCTGGCAGTGTGTCAAAACCAATAGTACCCCTGTAGTTCACATCAAAATAGCTGGGATTTATGGATGTTCATCCCCCTAAAAATGGTATTAATAGGTATTGATCCATACCCACCTCAAGGAAATGCATGAATTTTGAGGGAATATGTTGTTTGCATCCAGATTCTGAACATTGCTTGTCCCTCAATACCCGCAACCCACCACCAATTTTTAACTCCAACAAATTTCTCAACGAAATTGGATGGTTTGATATTATTCAAGTTAAACAATTCTGTGGGGACAGTCGCTCCTCAACTTTGAGCAACAAAATTGTGGAAGGGCGTAATCCCCCCGGAGGATAGTCGCCCACATCTGGGAATCCTCAGGCAGTGGTGGAAGCTTTCTAGATGCGCTGACTCTGAAGCCGCGTGCACAGAATCTCCAATTCTGCGTTTTGACGCTGAAGATGATAGAGTGTTTTTTTAGAAACAGTGCGTGTGGCCGTGTCCAAGAATAGAGGCCGAAATTACCTCGAACCCATGGTTAATTTTGGTGTTTTTGTTGATGACTTGCAGCCGAGGCCATCTGTAGTAGATGATGGAGAGTTGCAGTTTCCTCCTCGGAGCCAGGCCTGGTGTTGGATGTTGCTCCGAAGATGGAAGCTGATTTTGACCCTTGAGTACTTCACCGTTTCAACATTGAGACAGCAACAGCTTGCCAGGTCCGTCCACGTGGAAGCAGCAATCCACGGCAGAAAAGCGCTGGCAGAACTGTGTCCAAATCGCAGAACTCCTATGCCGGCGCTGACTTTCAGGACCATGGAGCACAAAGATGGCACACAGCACAGCAATGAACACCGCGGCACATAGGACTTGCCCAACGCTTCGCTGCACTGGCAAAGCTCCGACTGGAAGGAAGCCCAGGTGCTGACGGTGATGATGACATTGCGTCATTTTGAGGTCAATTAACATCACCGGTTGTATCAAGTCATCACACATCAGGTAGAGGCAGAGGATGAAGCATAAGAAACCACAGTGGCAAGGCTTGGATCTCTTGCAAACTGGAACAACAACTGAAGCGGCAGGTTCATGCGTCATCACATCGCAATTCGTGATCCCGGCAATGTGCAGATAGAAGCAAAGCGAACCAGCTTTGGCTATAGAAGACGCAGCAGAAGATGGCAAAATGGCTCCTTTTTTTTGCCACATTGACAGAGTTTTTCCCGTTCCCACAATGTTTGCGCATCTCCATATCAATCCTTGTTGCATTCTGAAGTTGCTGCATCTGTATGTTCGGCACGACCTCTCACCATCCAAGTCTCAAATGCAGCACCAAATTGCCTGGCTGACTTGGAGCCGTGTTGCTCTCGAGAAAAAAATCAGAGAGCGCGCTTAGTTCACCTAGCCCCTCAACTCTCCAAATGACCTTAATGGTCTTATTCCATCCTCGGTGATTTCTGGGTTTTTGTTCGGATCCCAATGAAGTTTCTGCCGGCTGTTTTGCTGTGATCTACTGGGAGGGCTCATCATTCATCCTGTGGTTTGAGGGTTCAAGTTCTGCTGATCAAATCCAAGGCCATCCGTTGAAAGCGAATGATCATGAATGATCTCAAGAAAGGCTACAAACGCTACAGTTTCCATACCAAATGGATCGTTTTTTCAGGAGCTTTTGGAGCGTCAGAACTCCGCAGCCAGTAGGTTTGTTGTAGCACCCAAAAAGGCCACGCGCTGGTCATTACCTCAGGTGGTTTCGACAGCATTTCAACAGCATTTCTGGGTAAACTGTAACGACCGAAGCCTGTTCTCCCCCTGGAATCATGGGTTTTTTCAGGGAAATCATCCCCAAATGGCCCAGCAATTCAGGTTAGTGAAATGGGGTTGGGTCAAAACCTATTATTATCAATTCTAATGGGATGAACATCCATAAATCCCAGCTATTTTGGGGTTCACTAGGTGCCAGGGTTTTGTCCCATCTCCAAATATTATAATATCTTACAATTGACCCAGAAAGTTGGTCATTTGATTTGCCAAAGATGAACAGTCACCATCTCCCAACATCCAACCTCTATAGCTGCCACATGCTGCCACCAATCAGGCACCCTGACGATGGCTCGAGGGAGAGGTCCTGGCGGGGTGCAGTTGACGTGGGATGCATGGTATGGGTGAGATCAAAATGGGAGAAATATGGCTCACTAATTTGTCCCACATCTATATAGATATATATATATATATATATTATATATATATATATTATACACACATACATAATATAATATAATATTTAATATATATATATATCATGATCAGGCCACATATTCTGGTATGTGGTATCCTTCATAGTTAAAAATCTCCAGTTGCTGGGTTATCCTCATCCCATTGGAGATGATCTTCCAAAAGATGATCTTTCAATACGTGTTGACCCTTTCCATCCAACTGAGAAGTGTCGCATGAGTCATTTTTCAACCACTTTGCACATTGTGATTTCACAAGTCAAAGGTCGTAACATTGGATGGCTGGATGGCTGGATGATGTGGCATGATGTGGCTGATATATGGTAGATCTATGGCTGATATATATATAGATCTATGTAAATTTCCAGATCGCTTGAGAAGTCGCTGAATCCCGGCCACTGGATACCAGAGATCTACCCTCTGGTTATGACTAACAGCTTGCCATGGTACAGATGGCCCATAGAAATAGATGGTTTACCTATTAATAGCATGGTGATTTTCCATGGCAAACTGTTAGTTATAACCAGATGGTAGGTCTCAAGATGTTTCAAGGTCCACTTTCTGAGGTTCGACAGCCCCTGAAGCTGAACCAGCATCATCGTCGGGTGCGTTCCGGGCTTGGACGGTGAAGATCATGCCGGTTCCAATATGGATGGAACAGAACAACAACGAGTCAATGAGTGTACAATAGTGTACATGAAGCCACAAACAGTGATTTAACAAAGAGACACGGAGAAACTGAAGTTTTTCTGGAAAAGAAAGGCTCTACAGTAGACCGGCTCCATTTCCAGCTTGATTTTGGTGGAGCACCCTATGCTTAGTCGCCACCAGTTCCCGCCATGAGCACTGAGGAGGCGTGGTGTGAAGAGGGACCGCGAGCCAGAACGCAATGTCGCGCAGATGGGGTGATGCCCTCAGCATCTCAACATATCTCGGCCAGCTTTCGCCGCAAACCCCGTGACGTATTAACCATTGAAACATATAGAAACCATATTAGAAATCCATCCAATTTGGAGAGTTCCAACTCATTTTCTAAGCTATCTCCACTGCCGCCAAGGCGACGTGGAATGGAACGAGAGATCTTCAAATTGCAGCAGGACAGCATGGACTATATGCTTACTAGTTATAGGAGCATGGACCTATCTGGTTGTTGGATGTTGTTGGGACATTCTTGTGATGGGTTGTTGTGGCCACCAGTAGCGCTATTCGAGTGCTGGAATTGCCTCCTGAGGATCACAATTTCCTCTCTATTCCGAAGGTAGCCTTTGGTCGCTTGGTCAAGGAAATCCAGTCTGAAGCTCAAGGTTTGCAAAATTATCATTGAGTTTCATTGAATCATAGGAAAATCATCTATATATCATCAAGATCATCAATATATATATATATATATCATCCATCAGCTTTCGAAGAAAATCTGCGTCCAACTGTGACAGGTCAAGTTTCGCGCCGGACGGGCTTTTCCGGGTGCTGAAGGGGGCGCCGGAGAGCTTTGGCAATCCATTGGAGTGGATATTTCGAAAAAAGCGGCACTTTCCAGAGGCTATCAGATGTCAAAGTAGCTGTGGTATATGTTCCTTCTTTGGGAGTAGCACTATGTGGTGGCATCCTTCCATTGGCCAGGTTGTTTATGTTTGGTCTATATGATATATGATGTATACACATCTCTTTAGCTGTTGAACACCGAGATGTTTGTCCTTTTCATCAAGCCACTTCAAAAAATGGTGGAATATACATCTACCAGTCTACCATGCAATCGATCAAGTTGGTCCCATTTCGCCCATCTGAGCCTTGTTCTTGGGGCGGAATGTTAGAGGCGAAACTTCCCAGGTTAAACCAGCGGCGATCATTTGTATAGTCCAACTATGGAGGTTTCCGTTTGGTGGGGGTAGCCCTAGTCAGAAAATCCAGCTATTAGAATCTATTAGATCGGGATTTTCCCTGAAACCATCCATTTCTATCAAGGGCTACCCGACCATAGAAACCACCACAGATCTCCGCGGATCTCCAGGAGCAACTGCGCTTCAGCTCGGAAGCTCTTGAACTTCTCCAAATGGCCACGGAGGCATTTTCTTTCTTGGGATATCATGATGCATATAATATTCAAAATATTCCATCATTTCATGATGGGATATAAATCGTGAGTGAATCATGGAATATTAGATGATGATCATGGGGTATATATGATGAATTATGATTATAATCACCATCTTGGGTTGAAAATTGGAATGGGATATAGGATGGGATGATCCCTTCCCCCCCATTCAAGTGAAAAAACACCCACATTGGATGGTCCTAGTCATAGTTTCTCTGGTTTCACCCACATTTTACCATGGTTTCTGGGGGGTGTTTTGTTTTTGAATGGGGGATGGGAGTATTGTGTAGATTTCGCGACCTGATACGGATTTCTTTGAAAACATTGGACCTCCGAATTTCGCGACCTGATTGTTTTGTCGAAAATCGATTTTCGTCGTGAAATCGCCATTTTGGGATGCACCATGATATACAATAGTTTGGGACCAAACCATCTTGATATTGGTTTGTATGCAAATGTGTTTTTCTTATAACTGGGATACTCTTTTTCACCCTCGGTTTCCCAAAAAGGAAATGATTCTACAATTTGGGGATCTCCCATTGTGGCCACATTCATATCATATAATTAATGTATATATATACATCATGGAATGTATTTCATGTACTACTTAGACATTGTTTGCATATTCTACATGTTTACATGTTTCAATGCAAGTATATGCGTAAGATACATCCAACGAGGTAAAATAGTGTGTCCAACCGTAAGTTTGGAGGGCGAAAAACGGGGGATTCAATTCCGTTTTTTTGATGGCCATGTTGAATGCGGAACATCTATTTTTGTCCACATGTTCATTGCGGAAAATGATGTTCTAAACCAGCGGATGTTTGGGTAGGCCTCATGTTTGGCGGAAAAAACACCGTGAAGAACCGAAGATCTTGACCTTGACACGATCCAGGAGTACTTGATGTACCTATTTGCAGATGGCTATTTGGTTCAGCACTGAGTTGGCTGCCGCTGAGAAGTTCACTGGTTGCGAAGTGATTTCAAACTCTAACCCGTAGGATCCATGGTGCTGCTATATATGGTGCTCCATGGATCCCATGAATATACCCCCAAATAATGTTCGCATTAATATACCAGCACCATGGATCCTATGGGTAAGCCTGTTATTTGATGTTTACCGTCATTTTACTCTTGAAGAACCATAATATTAACATTGATATTCACTAGTTACCGTATATACCTTCACCATGGATCCTATGATGTTTAAGACTCTTGAAGCATGGCATTATTTACGTCATTTTACTGAAAAAAATCCCCTTGAAATCCATCAATTTCCCATGAAATTCCGAGGCCACTGCGCATCGGCGGCGAGTGACGCTCAGCTCAGAGGATGTTCGCCTGGTACGGCGCCTGCGCCAGCCATGGGCCCAGTCACGCCCAGTTGATAGCGTGGTTTTTCTTGGTCATAGGACTATAGACTATAGGAGTTTCATGTGGTTAAAAAACAATGGTATATGTTTACCATGTTTACCATTCCTTTAGTCATCACCACAAATGGGTGGTATTGCGTTAATACACCATTCCCAGGAAAATGGGTGGTAAACATGACATTGTTTTAACCACATTTTTGGAGTGGGATGGGAAAAGGGGGAATTTGGCATGGCTCATGTGGGATATCCATAGGATCTAGCAGACCCCGACCAGTTTCAGGGGGATTTGATGACGATTTGATGGGATTTGACCAGTAATATGATATCCATGAGACAATCTGAAGGATATTATCTTATGCGCATATGGATCATCATGGATATCTAATTATACCATACCAAAAACCCTTTGGAATTTGACGCATAGCAAGCATTTGAATACCAAATCGGAAAAAGGTTTGTGGTGGAGGTAAGGATATGGGCATATGCGTATGGCGATGATATGAAAACTTACGGCATGTGGGACAATCATGAACAACAATAGTAGGATGTTGCGGCTGTTGCGGTTCCAAAATTTGAGACAGCACATTGGCGTCTGATATTCAGACACGTTCAGCACTTATTCAAAAACAGTTAGGATATATCGTTCGCCATTGTGGCGAAAGAATTGTGCAAAATGATAGAGAAACAACACTAACAGTAAACATGTTTGAGGATACACCCGATGAACTGTGATAGTATGTGATAGTGCTATTATTTTTGCTCACTAAAGACACCATCACCTGCCACCAGCTGCATCCCCCTTCTTAGCAACTCCATAAGGCCGCATTGTTGGGGAGAGACACGATGAGCGCTGCAGCTTGGCTGGATGCTGTCAACTTCCAAACTGTTCTGAAATTTCCAAGTGGCCATGGTTAGAATATGTTAAAAACCATTCAAAAGTTTTGATAAAGAGATAGTGACTATATGTGACTATGATAGTGCGATTTGTCTCACAGGACTTTGGGTTTTCTGGATAGGTGTGTCGCCAGAGCGTTTGGCTTCAACGTGGACTTTTAATGGGGGTCAAACCTTGGTGGCAAAGAGATGCGACAAATCAAGATATTGGCAGTGCGAAATATCTACGCAGCAATGTACGTAGGAGGATAGGATAGGGGAACAATGGAGAAGGTACAGCTACATTGGCTCTTCCAGTATATAGACATGAGATGACATGGGTGTGTCTCAAATTTGGGTAGTCCAAAACTATGTGTCATCAAAGTTTTCTCACGAAGAGATTGCCATCTTGGGGGAATCCCCGTTTTTTTTGTGGCACGTCATGCCACGTCTGATTCTGACAAGACACAGCGGGGAGAGGTCGAAGAGCGCGTCAGCAGGTCGCTGTTCCGCACCGTGAGGTCATACCACAAGTGAACCTGGCTTGAAAGCGGGCTTGATGTCGAACGCATCCTGCTCGCGAAATGCAACTTTTCTATATACATATACTTTTATGTCTTCGTAGCGATTAATCACTTGAATGCAAGTGCCGCATGCGCATGTCATGGCCCGAGTAAAGCATTGCGTTTTTTAATCCTCAACAGCATCCCAAGCCTTTTTTTGCGAGAGATTTGGCCTGACTCGCGCTGTCATTTTAGTCCCCTTGGAGGGACATGGACATCGGACTACTGTCTCCTCAGTGTCATCTATTGTCCTCTGTCTTCTATTGTCCGACTCGGGTTTATGGGTTTCACCGTGTTCGGGGAGGGGAAGACATTCCCTGTTCCAACACTCCTACCTTGGACTCCTGCAGAACGGGAAGCCATACATGATGTCGATGTAACAAAGCAGGAGAACCAGGGCGTCTTAGCAAATGTGTCCGTAGCAGTGGTGATTTGGGGAGAAAATGGTAAAAATGAGTGAGCAGAGTTCGGCATGATGTTCTTAAGACATCTTAAGACGTGATGAGAAGATTGGTATCATGAACAGCCATGTCGAATCATTTGGAGTTGCTTGAATGCAGACATAGGCAGACGTAACTTCATAAAACGTTTGTTGCATGGATTGGGCGCATGTTTTGTGATGTTTTGTGACCTGGCTTAAGTGGAGTTTCACCGTTTGGCTCCTGTTTTTATCGCCATGTTAGGGCTCAGCATCGAAGAGTGCTTCGTGGATTTCAAGCTGCTGACCAAGATCATTGAGCGGTTGCAGTGAGATTCCCTGAGGAATGGCCCAGTGAAGGGTGACCAGAGAAGGTGAATTGCCAGGGTCATTGGCGGTGCTCCATTCACAATCCCATGTGATATGCATCTATGAAGTGCTTCAAGTGCTTCATTCACATCAGACTGATGAAAGACATTTGTTTGAGCAACCAGAAGCAGCCTGGCAAACGTGCTTGAATACCAAAAAATATCACTTCTGGTCAGCAAATCCTTCCAGTTAGTCTGTTCAGCTAAACCTGTCAGAAACTTAATGAAGCAACACGGTTCCAGGTCTTGTTTCCAGATGTGATGCAGATGCCACTGGAAACGAGATGAAACAAGCAGACTTGCCCATCTAGCCCCAAGGAAACCTGTTTCAAGCTCCTCGTTTTCCGTACCTTTAGATGATGTTTCTCTGATGGACGGCTGATGTGCAAAAAATCCTGCAAGACCCACTGCTTTGGAATGTTTTGAGTTGTGAGGGGTTTGGGCTAGACTAAAACACACTAAAACCAATTGTGGTGATGACAGGTCTTAAGGTGGTGGAACTATCACAGAGATATGCATGACTCCATGACACTCTTTGTCTCACACCGTAAGATCTCAGATTGCAACATGGCGACATGTGGCGTGACCGGGAGCAAACTCAGGGCCATCCAGCTCCCAAGGGTCCCAACTTTCCAGTGAAGCTGATCCGAGCTTTTTAAACACGTTTAAACCAACCTCTAAACATCCCTTGAAAAAAGTGTCCCTTAATGTGCAAAAGACATGAATGTTGGCCACAATTAGGCTATTGGATCGACCTTCGATCCAGCTATCTAGTTCAGCGCTTTGGGATGTTTTTTTGAACAGCGCGGATCCAAATCCAACGCTGGCGTGGAGGAAACGAAGGAAACGTGTGAGTACGGCTGTGACGGCTTGTAGCTTGCCCTGGAGACAGAAGTTCAAGCGTCGCCAGTTTCGGATATGGCCATGTGCGGTAAGGATCATTCCAGTGCATTTACATCCTTAGGCTTTATCCTGGAAGGGCACAGATTGCAACACATTCTGAAGGCCTCAGCTGATGTGAGCCATTTTCGAAGTTAAGGGGTGTGCGCATGCGCTCCATTTTCTCAAATTTTCTCATGGAGGAGCTTCCTTTGGTGACAGCGGAAAACATCCAGGGCATCCAGGGCATCCAAGCGCCCGGTCCCAGCCAGTGCCAGTCACCTCAGGAAGCGAGTTGAAGGTGTTGGGTGCTCGCCGAGCCTGAGCCCGAACCAGGACTTTCCGTGAGGATTTTTCGAAGTCTCACCTAGTGACCTAGTCAGGACCTAGTCGGCTCAACGTCAACATCTTGGTCTTAACCCCCAAGATGCCGGCCAAACACCACCTGTGGAGCTCGGCTTGGCGCTCGGCTGCAGCAGTTCTGCGTGGCAGGAAGCTACAGATCTTTTGGGCTACACGAGACTCACGAGACCAGCCGCCTGTCATGGTCAGCTGTAGAGAATCCATGGATTCTGCATGATTCTGCATACCTTTTTCCGTCCTCCGTGTCCAGTTCCGGTGTCCATATCCATATTATCCATATCCGTGTCCACTGTTCCAGACTTGAGACTTGCAGTATCTTGTAATCTATCCCTCCGTAGGTCGCCATTTGGAATCACGTTTGACACAGGATCAAAGTAAGAGTAGCCGTAGTAGCCAATGGCTGAGCCATCTGCCAGGTGTTACTAACCTTCGATGATTGCGGCGGAGAAAGTGTTGGGAAAAACTTGTGCTTAGTTTGGTCCACCAATCAACTTCTGCCCCAGAGCTAATTTTTCTTCTCGACTGATGTGGTAACCCAGAAAATCCCGCAGTGCAACATGATGTCAGACTTGTGTGGTTGCAACCTTCAAAGTCTCGTTGTTCAAAGAGACTTTGGAATCATGTCGAATCATGTCAAGCCTCAGAAAATATCACATCCATCAGTTGGCTGATTGCAGGTTGAGTGATTCCACTATTCTATCTTCTCTTCCCCAATTTGTTTTTTCTTTCCACTTCATCTTGAAACTTATGACATCTTATGACTGTCCAGTCTTTCGAAACTTGTCCCTTGCCCAGGATGTTTTTAAGATCCTACGGTGCCATACGGTGCCCCATGGTCGAATTTGGGGAGGATTGGCTATACTTTCGACCAGTTCCTCCAGTTTCCAAGTAACAGTGAGGTGAAGATGGTAACACCTGCAACTTTCTCAGCAGTTACATGCTCGGTCCAAGACATTGGATAGCTCTAAGTTAGTCCCTCAGTATAGTCCCTAGTAGTCCAATTTAAGATAAAACATAATCCTCCTTGTCATACCCAGTCAAGCACTATAGTCACAAACCAAGACCTGTGACGCATCAGATGAAGATATGTCAAGTTCACAGATACGCTTACCTCCACTGTCAGTCTGTCACAATGGTTAGAGTATTACCTCACACCACAGCTTGAGTCGCGCAAGATCTCCCGTGTGTGTTCACCAAGCGTCGGCCAAATGGGCCGAAAGCGAGGAAGGTGAACCATGTGAACCCAAACTTGATTTAATTTACAACTTACAAAACGGGCCGATTTGTAAGTCAGAATTTGCTTCCTGATTTACAGGTGTCGAAGGTGTCAGTTTTTCCTAGATTTTTCCTAGATTTCTTGTGCTTAGATTAGACTCAAATAGCATGCAAATTTTGAGACTTATGGTACAGCCCCTAATAGCCCCCTGAATCCCAACACAGTCAGACACGTCACAGTTCGAAGGCTGTCTGTCGCTGCTGTGCCCCGGTAGGGTTTCTGGCGAATCGAGCGGATATCTGGCGAATCTGTTTTGGGAATCTTCTGATAGCAGTCATAAGCTGTCCCAACCAAGGGCTGTGATATGTCAACACCAATGTTGCCAACGCACAGCTTAATTTGGCGACATGATCAGGCACAGACTTTTTTTATCCCACGTGCAAAGATGTGCAAAGTTGCCAACGCACTCCATGAAGTTTGAACTTGACGTATCAGGTCATCTCTCCCTAAACATGGCTTATGGCAGATAGAGCAGCCACGAAGACAGTGCGGACATAGCTACAGAAGGGCCATGGCCATGGGAAGGTCTAAGCTCAGGTGGATCCGAAAATGTCGCCATGTCGGCCTGAGAAAACTCTGCAGGGCTGTCAGCTACTGAGCACCTCGACCTCGATCCATTGAGGTTCAAAAAATGATGATTTCCCTCTGCTCCCCCGGATGAATCGAATCGGATTTGGTTGAAATCGATGGAAAACAGAAGAATTTGGAGGATCAAACGGTATCATGTTTTTCCTTCGATTTCAGCTTTCCTTCGGTATCTACCGTAGTTTTCCCTTTGCCTTTGATGATCCATGAAGCTCCACCGGAGACCTCAAACAGCGGTGAAACTGCCCTCTTCAAAGCGTTGTCGAAGATGTCGAAGATATCGAAGCACTGAGCTGCCTAAAGATGAAACAGATCGAACAGAAACATTTCTGGCACTTCAGAAGTGTTCGGAGCGGATTCGAGAAATTCGAGAGATTCACTGGCTGCTGTAATCGCTCTCTGTGAAGCGGTGTGTCCTGTCCATCTGTGAAGCCTGTGAAGCGGCAGACTTGCAGCCAATGACCAGGATGTTCAAGATGTTCAAGTTCATGATTCCCTCGTGAATACCTGGGGTATCCTGGGGTATTCATTTCAGGAGAGAGGAATAGTCAATAGTCTGCTCTCTTGAATTAGAACTAACATCAAACTGCGGAGTCTTTCTAAACAGCTTCAGTTTGATGGTTCCACAGTAGCTGTACACATGGACTGACACCAGTTTCCGACGTTTCCGACTTTTCCGACACCTCGCTGTAAGCCCTGAGTTTAAGTCTCGAAGTCTCGTCCATGTGTGGAACAAACGTTGGGTCAAGAGAAGCCGCGTGTTTTGCGACCTCCACAGCAGTTTGCTGATTTTAAGCAGCTTGACCTTAGCAATGTCACAGTTGTAGGATGTTGTAGGGGATGTTTGTCGTTCATTTGTGAAACAAGAAACCAGCTTCCGAAGAAAAGCCACCCGTTTGGTTAATAAGATCCATGAAAGAAGCAGAGTGTTTTTGCGACCCTGTACCTAGTGGGACCTTATAGTAGGACGCTCCAAGGCTGCTCAGCGGTTTGCTGCTAATTTCCAACACCTGACTACTTTGTCAATGTCAAACTTATAGGCGAGTAGCTCTGGAAACGCGCCTTTTTTTTTCATAGCATGAAGTTTGTTGATGCTTGGTGTCGGCCCACGTATGTCTTGAAAAGCCTTCCACCCTTCGGGACCGATTTTGATAGTCAGTCTTGCTGTCGCTCGATTCAGGGTAAACACAGGTGCCCCCAACCAAATAAGACCAGAAGATCCAGTCACATTTTT